CCCCTTTTTTCACTTTCTTCCCCTCCCCTTCCCCCCCTTTTTCCCCCCTTCCCCCCTTTTTTTTTTTCCCTTTTTTTTTTTTTCCCCCCCCCCTTTCCGTCTTCTTTCCCCCCTTTTTCCTTTCCTTCTCTTCCCCCCCCTTTTTTCCTTTTTATTCCCTTTTTCCTTTTCCCCACTTCCCCTTCTTCTTTTCCTTTTTTTTTCTTCTTTTCTCTTTTCTCCTTTTTTATTTTTTTTGGTATTTTCCCCTTCTGCTCCCTTTTCCCCCTCTTTATTCTCCATTTTTCTTTTTCCCCTTTCCCCTTCTTTTCCCCCCGTTTTTCCTTTCCCCCCTTTTTTTCCTCTTTATTTTCCATTTTCCCTTTTCCCCTTTCCCCCTCTTTTTCCTCCGTTTTTCCTTTCCCCCCTTTTTTCCTTTTTTTCTTTTATCTCCCTTTTTTATTTTTCCCCTTTTATCTCTTTATTTCCTTTTTTCTTTTTCTTCATTTTCTTTTTTCCTTTACCCCTCTATTTTTCTTTCTTTTCTTCCTCCCCCTGCTCTTAATCCTTCTCCTTTTCCCCTTTTTTTAACTTACCACAACTTCCAGTGCCCCCTAGCACACCACCCTGCAGCTGGATTTTCTCCCTGCCTTAGTGCCTACAGCGTTTCTCTAAGGAAAAAAAAAAAAGCGTTTCCATCCTCTGCAAGCAGCATTCTAGCAAATTCCTTGAGCAATTTATGACAACTACATTAAGCCATACTACAGCCAATGCTGGCCAGAGCTCTAGGCATCATTCTCAGTTTCCCCGATGCTGAGGTTCAAACGATGCCAGCTCATTCTCAACAGGAGCCTGAGCTGCCCAGGAAGGCAGCACAGAGAAGCGGATGTTCCTGTTTTTCCAAAACAACCTTTTAATTATGCTCCTTACTGTAATAACAGCTTTTTTCCAACACTTTAGCAGCCAGAGCTATTAATTTAGAACCCAAGGTCTAACAATAAAAACCAGCGTCTTTTGGTAGACCATGGCCCTTCTTACACTAATGCAGATGTCCCCTTACACTGCCCATTCAGGCAGTACTCCTTGTTTGTGACACAGCAGATCCTCACCAACAGAACAGATTGAATAGATGATTTTCTGCCTGGTCATAAAACACATCTTGTGTGACAGGGAGAGTTCATGTGCAGTTACTCATCAAAAAATCTGGCTGAGGTGCACAGCAATAAAATGTGGTTTTAAAATAGCCATGTGCAAAGCTACAAGCAAGGAAAGACAGCCACACCACATTCCTGCTGTATTCTTATTGCAGGGATGCTATTTGCCCCAAACTGCCACAGCTCATGGAGAAACAAGGCCCATCCAAGTGCTGTCTCTTTTTTGCTCTACCACTGTGCAGTAGATGCTGAGGAGGACTCACCCCCACTGACTGTTGCACACCCATGTCTGGCATTGGCTTTGGGAAAAACAAAGCTACATAGTAGAAGATGCAGCTGTTACCCCTAAGGTTCAGCAATCAATCCATTTCTCGCTCTTTGAACAGAAAACAAAATCATTAAGATGGGATCTGGATCAGGTCTCTGCAGCCAACACACCCTACTACAGCCCCAGGTGGGCTGGGCTGGACCACAGCACCAGACACCTACCGGCAGGAATCCTACACATCCCAAAGCTGCACCTCCTCCAGACACTTCAGGTGGTGCAAGAAAACCTGAGCCAGCTCTCAGGGTGGAAGAGCTGTGTTTGCACAGGCTGGAGGGCAATTGCTCATGGCTTTTCCTTATGGCCACAAAGATTCTTGGTTTGAAAACCTGGCTGCTACAGTCCCTCACAATAAATGCCCAGCTATCCCAGCATGGCATTCCATGGAACCGTCATCCAGCTTCTTGGGTTTTACACTGGCAGAAGATACTCAGCGTGTCTGTCTCCTTCAGAGAGCCAAGCACTGCTCTCTGCCTGCCCAGGAAATGATAAGCTGAGACAGAAGGAACAATGAGATGGATAAAAAGGAAACAATGACTGCCAGAAATACAGGTGTTCCTTTTCCGGGGATTTTCCATCCTAACAAGGCCCCTAACAAGGTTCAGCATTCTGAGAGTGGCACATGTACACCTGTGTGCAAGGGGAAAGAGCTGTTTCACACAGCTGGGGAAAATTTTGCCAGCACCTGCAGCACCTCTCTTCGCAGAGATTTATTTCATGCGGCTTCAATTCCTTTTCCTTAAATCTCATATTATGGAGAAGGTGTAGGAAGAATTCCAACTGATTTCATTAATTCCAGATTGGAGGCTGGGAAAAAAACCCCTCAAACAAAATTCAAAACCTCTTGAATTTGAAAAAAAAATTTTTTTTTTCCTTTTTCTAGGTTAAGGCTAGGATGTTGGGTTGTGACTGGGGCCATTATTTGAATTTGAGAAATCACCCTTCAAAAATACCTGTTTAGTCAAGTGCTGAGAACTGGAAAAACAGAGCTGGTTAAATGCAATTTGGAGTCAAACCGATGTCCAAGGGAATTGCTCACCTCTTGTGCACAAGACTAATTAAGTTCAGGTTGATTTTCATAAACGGGAATTTTAGGAGGATTTCTTCTGCAGACAGCAGCATCACCCTCAATCCGGGGTACTGTCTGGTGTGGGCTCTTTCCAGGCTGGTCCAGGAGAAGCAGATCCTTCATAACCTGGCAGAAATCCTGGCCCCACTGAAGCCAGCCAAACACGCATGGATTTAATCAGGATGAGGATTTTATGTCACCTACTTGAATGTGAAAAAAAGACAAAGGACTCCACTCTGCTCTCCCACTCTCTCCCTGGGTCAGTCAGACCTGCCTTATTTGTTGTTGCAACCCCTAGTTTTGGAAGGAACAGTCATACAAGTGCACACACACCCTTTCTCCAGGCCAGTGTATTTTCCAGCTTAGCAGGTTATCCCCAGACGTGTGAAGATTTAAGAAGCAAAGCCCATTCCCAGCAGTGAGAATGCTGTGGATGCATCTCCTGCAACAGCTGCTGGGGGACAGGGAGGGACAGGGACACCATGACCCCTCCACGTGCCAAGAGCCCTCACACGCCAATAGCCTGACCTTAAAAAAATTGCTGTCCTTGTTAAAAATCACCTTACAACATGACATCGCTTCTCCTTTCTAACAAGAAGGTCTACATGGGTGTTTTAAATGCTAATTTTGGTGCTTTCTGAAACACCCCGTGACCTGCGGTCATCTCCCATCGCTTACATTTACAGTTTTTGTCCTGACAGCTTGAGTAGCCAGCTCAGAGTAAAACCCTTTCCAGCTCTTCAGATGATTTTCACTATCACTCACTCGGGCTATTAAGATTCTCAATGCGTGTATCTGGTTTCCAATAGTACAAGCTGCTTCGGAAAGGTTAGAGTTTGTTTTAAATAGCTCAGCCATCTGTCCTGCGGTGGCTGATGGGAGCTGCAGGGATTGAAGCAGCCAAAACAGAATTTTTCAAACTGTCATTTTTTCATTACAAACATTTCAGCTTGAATCAGACCCGTGTCCTTAAAAAAAAAAAAAAGTTAGGTCTATATTTTTTCCTTGAGTATTATACGACTGTGAGTTGTGCTCTAACAGCTTCCTTGCGTTGCTGGAATTTCATCAATGCAAATATCTGGCCTGAACTTCACCAGCGCCAGGCACTTTGCAAAGCACAGAATCAGCCACATTTGTGTGTTTCTCGGCTTTGAACTAAGAAATGCTCATTTATTACAGGTAGCCATGACACACAGAACCAACACACAGCAGTAAGGAAAACATTTCATGTATGGAAATCAGGCACATGGATCTGCATTTTTCTCAGCCAGTTCCTAAATGTCAAAGCTCTGAGTTCACCTATTCTACAAAGTTAAATCAATTTATTCACCTAATTCACAGGACTCACTTTCTTAATTTGACATTATTTTTGAGGGAAATGGGTTTAGAGTGCACAGGCCAGCTATGTGCAGCAGCTGTTACCAGCAGAATTGCTAATTCCCACATTGGTGGGAAAATAAAAATACATGAGAAGCAACTTGTAGTATTTCCTTAGGCAAATGCTGCTCCACATCAAACAACCAAGAATGGCCATCATCTACCCCCGAAGGAAAATGCCAATGATCTCCCTAGTGCTACCCTGGAAAGGCCCATGTAATAAAACTATCACCCAGGAGTATCCAAGGAGACAAGACAGACAACAAATATGTATTAATCAGAACAACATACCAAAGTTTATTGATTACTTCAAACAAAAGTTTCTGTAATGAAAAAAGAGCAAGTTGCATTCATAAAAGGTAACATTCACATTCAATTTCCTTTATATAAAGCAACATAAATGTATAAAATTGCATTTAAGTGAAAAAAATGTAAGGTTGCAGTCCTTTTTTTTTGCAAGAAGCTGAAAATGTATCTGCTCATTGCCTGTATATAATTTACATTTTCTATATACTACATGTTTTTTAAAAAAATTCGTAGCTGGGAAATTGGATAAATGCTGCAGTATTAGGTAAGTTTTTCAACTGTGTGTATACAAATTCAATTTGAAGCTTTTATGCAATTCCAAGTAATTTATAATATTCTCATAACGATTAGGATTAGTGTTTGAAAAGTCGCTATGACTACACCAAGCTCCACTGTTATCATGTACCAGTTTTAGAGGGAATCTTAATTACTTTCCTTATCTTTCAATGTCACTAGTCAGTGATTAAACTTCAACGAATTATTATGAGAAAAACCCAGCCTTTTTTCCTTCAAGATTTTCCACTGATAAGCCTGTACTGACCTTTTAGCTCACTGAGGAGCACCGTAACAGTGCAGTGGGTACCATGAAACACGAACAACCACCACAGCACTGCTCTCAGATTATTGCCACTTCAGCATCCTGATGCCTTACACCTTACAGTCACTATCACTACTTTTTCTTCCCCTCTCTAACCTCAAAAGGAGTCTCCTGTTTCCCCTGATTTCACAAGCCACCCACAGCAACAGGAATTTCATTTTTGCCATTACTGAATGACGAGGATCAGCTCTTCTGCAGGTGCAGGGCAACCTGGCGGTCCTGGCACCCAGCACTACACCAGTGCACTAGCTGAAGATCCAAGCCCAAGAAAATCTGCATTTTCCTAAAAGAGTTGCTGTTCAAGACATTTCACATTAAATCCACCCCACTAGTCAGCACACACACCTTGGGTTTGAACATACAGCTACTGCAATCCAGTGGGGACCAGACACTTGGAAACAGGAAGAGATTTGGTTCTCAGAAGGCTTTGTCTTTCAACAGGCTGCAGAAATTAGCCTGTTTAAGTGACTATTTGGACAGTTCGCACACACATGGCAAGTTTCACTCTGTTCCCATTAGCATCACCAGCAGAACCTCCAGTAGAATTCCAGGGGAACAGACTTTGAACCTCAGAGTAGAGCGTGACACAAAACAGAGAAGGAAGGTGTGAGGCTTGGGACCATTCGGGCTTGGAATGGTTTTGAATCACAGGAATTAGGCATTTTAGTGCCCACATTTTAAAGGTTATGTAAACACAAGTCAGCAACTGTATATTTAAGGAGAAAGGTTAGATTTGGCATATAGAGCGTATCTTCATCGTATTCATCGTATACTTGATCTGTAGGCACCACATTTTAGCAAGAAAAGTTGAGAATGGGACAAGGTCTGCAAGTCAAATTCTAGGTCCGTGAAATGAGCTAGGAAAAGGGAAAAAAAAGAAGAAGAAAACAAAAGCTTTGCCCATGGGACACATGCTGGCAGTGCAGCTCCTTACTTGCATGCAGCAAGGAGTTGAGCCGCAGTCGCTGACACGGCGCAGACACCACTTGCGTTGAGGCCAGTGCAGTGTGTATAATACAGTGGTCCTGTCCATACTTCCCCTCCCATGCTGGGTGATGTCAAAGCAGCCACCGGGCACAGGGACTGTGCACACCCCTCTCCCACTCAGGTAAGGCCCATCCAAAGTCCTTGCAATGCGCAGGAGAATTTGCCAGTGGCTGATCTGCACCAGTTGAAGACGGACCACAGGGGTGACAGCCAGAGAGCAAGACTCGATTCTTCCAAAAAATCAGTAGTCTGCAGTTTAACAAAATTTGGTGAGGGGAACGTTCCATCCAGTCCCAAATTGTTTCATTGCATGTAAATGACATGAAGCCTGAGCGAGCGGGAGCCAAACCCAGCAGCAGCGTAGAGCTTGTTGCTTCTGAAATGAGACTTGAAGCTTCTCACAGTAGTTCCTCTGCCCCGCTCCGAAGAGCGCCGGGGCCGGGGGAAATCGGCACGAGGGAGGGACCGTCACACCAACCCGCGGTGGCACACAGGGTGCTCTGTCACTGCTTACGACTTAACACAACAGAAAAAGCTGCTCTTTCCACATAGGAAGTATCAGAGAAAAAAAAAATAAAAATGTTGAGAGTCAGGCATCTCACCTCTGCTGTGCATGACCTAAAGAGAAAAATTCCTACGACCATGGTACAGGTAGGTTTCAAAAGAACATGCCAATTTAAAAACCAAATAAAATGTAAAATGAAATCGGGTTCATGTATTCCTTTTATTTTTAAACTGGCTTCTTTTTTCTTAGTGCAAATAACTCAAGATGCAGTTTTATATGCCTGCAGGTTCACAGGCACATCCCATGTCCCTGGGATCAGCCAAGGACTGCACTGTCACTCAGGCCTTTAAAGTGTTGGAGCAACTGCACAGTGCAGTAATGTAAGCACAGCCATAGGAGCCTGGGCAGAGAGGCTCAGAGTCTGCCACAGTCCAACTTTTGGGATTCCTTCCTCCCCCACAAAAGCTTCCTTCCACCATGAGCAGCCACAGAACAACCTTTTCTTCACCCTCCAGCAGGAATAAACCCATCAGCAAACCGGCTGCAGGAGGATGCTCAGGTGCTTCCCAGCACCGCAGGTCTCCACATGGACACCATCACTGCGGGCAGACCACAGACTGCTTCCAGCCATACCTGGAGGAGGGATCAGCAAAGATTTCTCCCGAATTTTCAAGTAATTCTGCCACGTGCATCTGGCACCCATGGTTCGGAGGGGGCAGCCCCCTGATGAGGGATCGCAGCCCCAGCACCAGGAGAGATGCTCTCAGGGCTGCATCCAGATTCCACGTGAGAGGAGCAGGCTTCTCCCAGTGCCTTCAAGGAGCTGGATGGGGCTGTTACTGGGTTTAAGTCTGTGCTACTTCTTTGGTCAGGAGAGCAAGAGACTTGAGCAGCTCTCCGCTGCTCTCAGATCTGCAGTGGGCAGAGGAAGCCCCCGTGTGAAATGGGGCTGGCACTGCACTCTTGCACTTTGATTCATGCCATTTCGGATGAATTTCTAAAGATGCTTTCTCAGCCTCCAATGACGTAGAATTTTGCAGAATTGTTGTTTTGGGGGGTGGGGAAACTACAAGACCAAAGACAAACAGGTACCGTGGGGCCAGTGCCCTGGCTGCTGCTCTTTCAGCATGGCTGCTTACAGTCCTTGGTAATATCAAAGAGAACTGTTAGGTTAAAACCATGGGTTTTGTCCTACAGCATGACAATACGCAGTGTTTGTATGGAGCACTTTAAAGTATCCTGAGAGGATATCTTTCTGCCAAATTAGTAACAGTATCTTCAGTCTTCACATAACCATTCTCTATACGTTTGTATGAGACTAACACAGGCAGATCAAAGGGGCCAGCCTGCAAAAATCAGAAGGAAAACATATATATATATATATATATTACAACTGTTACATTTCCAAACTCATAAACCTTTTCCTGCGTTATTTTTAGAAGAAAATACTTAAAATTTTATAGGAGAAGAAGAATGATTAGGCCATGATAAAAGTGCCAAATGTCATTCACAACCAAGTAATCGGATGATAAATAGATTTGCACAATCTGCAAAATGCTGCGTGAAGTCTAAAAGTGGCATCTGCCTCACTGCCCCCTGCACCTCCCATTCTGTCCCGGTCCAGCTGCCTCCTGCACCAGTCTGCACCAGTGTATGGTGGTGGAGAGCACCACCTAACGTCAGTGGAGAAGGATCAGCTGTGCAGGACAAATACCACATGCACTGGAGGCCTTGCAACCCTGGCTGCTAGAGCTGCCATGCCAATCAAACTCATTTCTTAAGCAGCAGCTGTGGGTACAAAGGTAGGAGAGGCTTGCAGAACATCTGCAGTCTTCTGTTTGCAGGCGACACCGCACGTTACATCTCCCCTAAAAGTGGAGTTGTGAATTCAATTTGGCACTTTTTTATTCTGCTATTGGCTTGCTACAAAGTTTAAAATCAAGTCAACTTGTACTAGGATGCTCTTGGTGTGCGTATGTACATACAGACACCGAGACATGCCTCTGTCCATGTGTCAGCACACATAAACAAGTACACGTATTTAGTGTCAATCTATGAAGATGAATTAAAATGTACTTATTTCTATCTGACAGAACAGCATGCACCCTAAAGAAAGGGATTTTGGTACAATTCAGATGCAATACTGGAATCAGTTTAACAACTGAGATTTGAATCTTTCAGTGTAAATTTATCAGTGTTAGCTTTTATAACCACTGTTAGCACAATCCAGACTGCACTCTCAGATTAAATTTTCTTTTCACATTAGACTAAAATATCAGTTAGATTGAAAGATTTGTTTGCAACTGCAAAATATTTCAGTTTGAGAGTATCTGTACAGATACAGTATTCTGAAGAGGTTGGATAGTACAACATCCCCAAATTAAAATCCATCCCAAGCATTGCATCTCCATTCCACAAGGACAAGTGCCCCACACCGATAGTCAAGAGGATTACAAGAACCATGGTTTAATTGATTTGGAGGAGGTTACATTTGGTTAATTGATGCCTTTTAAAACCATCCCAACTCCTTCAGACAGGGTACCTTTACAACACATTAGACTCATCTGAGAACGTTCTTAAAAGAAGTGGTCTGACAGAAGGTCTGGCCGACAGTGAATCAGGTGCCTTCCTGCTGCTCTGCAACAGCGAGGCAAGGAGACTTATAGCACATGCAACTCTTGCCCCTGCCTGTTGTCAAACAATGCAAGACACACACAACCCTTTTTACAGCTAAGTAATATCATAAAGAATTATTAACACTGGTTGGGTTTTGCAGTCCAAGAGGCACAGAGAGTATTCAGAAACTGGCCCTGCTTCCCAAAATGTTTAACTTCAGGTTTGGAGGTTTATGCTTTTGAGGGAGGAGGAAAACATCCCTGATCTCCACATAACTAGCATTTTTAAAATAGGCAGTAACAGAGGAGATCTGCAGTAAAACTAAATGCTAGGGACATATAATCAAGGCACTTTGCTCTGGGCGGCCCCACCACTCCCTTCATCAGCAAATCCAAGACTATCCTTCATTGTGAGGGTAGCACTAGCAAGTGGGATGGACTGGGCAAGGTGGGCACTAGGGAAGCTCCCCCCCTCGGTCAGACAAGTCTGAGTCACTTGTCAAGTCATCTAGAGGACAAACAACATCAATTCCACCTTGTCCCACTCGTATCTAGTCCACTAACACACAAAACTGCAGTGAGAAAAGAGTGTAAACCAGCTTTGCCTGTGTCCACCTCACTTGGACATCCTGAGCACGACCAGCTCACCCACCTGATGTGCAGCAAGAGACCGAAGGGGCAGAGACAGACGAAATATTTAAGCAAAAGATTTAAATTAAGGCAACATTTAGGGAAAAGCAAGGTTTTGCTGTGTGAGCAAATCTAAATGTGTGTTTTCAGGAGTTAGGCATTAGAGGGAGGAGAAAGGCAGTTGAGCAAGCAACACATAGCGACTCAGAAAGGAAATCACCTTATTCACTCCAAGAAAAGCTGTGATTGCTGGAAGTTTGAGAAAGCATGAAGATAGTGGATGTTCCTGAGGAAGGAAGGCGCTTCGTTACCTAGTTCACAACAGCACAAAAGACAGAAAATTGCAGTACAAGAAAGAGAAAGGTAGAAACCAAGGAAAACACAAATGCGCCTTGCAGTTAAAAAAAACAAGCAAAACCAAAACAAAATAAAAACAACCACCACATTTCCACACAGGAAATTTAATAGAGGCTGAGCAGAGCTGATGCACAGTGTTACAGGAAACTCAGGGTGAAATCCTGTCCCACTGAGGTCAATAGCAAGTGTCCATTGACATGGACTTGGCCTTGGCTGCCAAGTTTGGGTTCAGGCACCTAAACAACATCCCTGGTCTTGTTTTTCATTTAATGATCCCCTTAGGACACTGATGTTTATTTTATTTTATTTCAATATTAAGGTCAGGATTCTCAATAAGGCCTTAATTCGAAATCATCTACCTGATCTTAGATGCCTTTACTAATCAGGCAACTGTCTTTGATGTCTGATTGATGACACAGATATCTAGAGCTGGTATCTGCTTCAGGGACTTATGATAACACTCTTACTCAAAATGTACATTTAAATACAGCTCAGCCTGTGTTTAGTTTGGGATGCACATCTGAAGAGACTTTTCTAGTTGACACTTACTTTGCTTTGCTAAATGATTTCACAAGAGCCTTTGTTAAATGCATATAAAGCACTCTTGAAAGCAAGTATTGCAAGAGGAGATGGATCTTTGGTCAACAGCTGAAGGCAAAAATGGGTCACCCCTCAGGTGACTTGAGCTGGGGCTTAGAAACCCCCAGGTCACCCTTCCAGGGTACTGTCCTCAAACTGTCCTATGTCCACAGCTGAGAGTAACTTTCTCCCAGCTGGTTCAATAGGGGTGTCAAGCTAGAAACTATTAAATTATATTAAAGTGGAAAAAATTACATGGACTCTTACAAAATACAACCATAGTTTTTTTACCATCTCTTTTGTTTTCAACTATAATAATGCTCCAACCCTGGAAGTGTTCAAGGCCAGGTTGGACGGGGCCCTGAGCAACCTGACCTAGTGAATGGCATCCCTGGCCACAGCAGAGGGGTTGGTATTAGGTGATCTCTAAGGTCCCTTCCAACCCAAATCATTCTGTGATGCTATTAATGACTTGGGGGTGGGGGATTATCCTGCTGGGTGTTGGTGAGGGCTGATCCCACACTGTGTCCCTTCAGCTGTGCCCTACTGCTGCCTAGGGATGTGCAAACCCGATGGCAAGAGGCCTGGGCTGGCTGCAACACACCATGTGCTGACCCGAGGCAGGACTTGCTGATGCTGCAGGGGGAAGAGAGGGGCTGCAGGAGGGGGAGGCACAGAGAGGGGGGAGGCATGGCCAGGGTGAGCAGGGGCTGCCCAGGAGATGGTGCTGCAGGGACACTCAGCACCTCTGGGCAAGCAGAGAGCAACAGGCAGGGGAGCTCAGCACAGTGAGTCGTGAACCTGGCATTGCTGGCCTTCACCATCTGCAGGAGCTATGAAGAAAACTTTTAGGAGAAAGTTTCCACTTCTAAAAGGAGCCCTCCTCCTCAGCAGTAGAGGAAAGCTGCTATGAAACCAGATCACTTTTGAGGAGAGCAAACACCATGGTACAAGCCTTCAGTTATTTATGGAGGGTGGGTAAATGTGACAAGACCTGACCCTTCTCACACTGCACCAGCACCTGAGGACAAACCCAAGAACATCCTGGCTGTGTTTTTTGATATAAAAACAGGTAGGGTTTTTTTCAGGACATGATCTGGTGGGTTTGATGATCAGTTCAGGTTGGACAAGGGTTACTGTACTTCTATAAGAGACAGCACGATTCCACCCAGCAAAGGCAACTAAGGAAAGGCACAGGTTGAGTCTCTCTTCACTACAGATCTAGGCAGTATGTTTAGATTAACTTCTTGCCATTTTTGGCATATGAAAGAGCAAGACAAGACTCCAGAAAGCCTTCCTTGAGATGTGAGTGGTATGTGGTACTGTTACAGGTTGATCTGGTGCTTAAGAAAGGTCTTCCTAAAAATACAGTGGAATACATCATCTTATTCCTTACCTGATGATTTTTCTCTTTTATATTTTTTAAAACTATTAGAAGAATTTCTGGGAAAAGGCTGATAAAGATCAGGAGAATTATTGCCAGCCATGTGGAAACAGAAGTCAGCATATGAGCAAATACAAAATACATTCTTTGCTGCTTCAAGAAAGGCCTGAAAAAGAAAGGACACAAATACATTCTGGTTAACACAGATTTTCCAAGAAGGTCAGAATCAAAGGAAATTTCAGATCAAACTATTAGCAGTTATGCCTCCCTTTCAGAAGGATATGGATACAGCCCCCACAAAATCACACTGTCCATCCTTGTCCAAATCTATTTCCTGCCTTCAACTGCACTAATTCTAGAGGATTGTCATGATTCATTTTGCATCTTCCACATCTGTGGGGAGGGGGTTGAATTTTGCCACTATCACTGAAAGATAAATTGTTCACCTTATCAAAACCCAGATCATTTTATTTCAATTTTGGGCTTTGCTATAGCTTCTGGTTTGGTTTTGATGGTGGAAATCCAGTGTCTCTCAATCACAACAGGTTATTTGCACCTTCCTCCCTTCCTTGATGAGGGAGAGCAACCAACAGATGCTTGTGAAAAACACCTCATAAATAAACGATGACAAGGATCCCAAAGCAGTTGTTGCTTACTGTTAAGTCAAAAATATTGAGCTATGCAAGTTAAACAGTAGAAAGAGCTTTTAGTAGAAAACTCACACTTTTCACTACAGATATGTGGCTAGATTGCAGATCTGGATCTGTTGGTTAGCAACACTGAAGAGTTAAAAAAAGCTTGTAATACTCAATTAAAATACTTAAATCAGTTCCACATCCTCATTAACAGGTTGCTGGATCAAGGATCTAGCCAACAGCCCATGCCACAAGCCCATGGCAAAGCAAAGGTGTAAAATGGGGGACACAGTCTACTGTGAATGTCAACTGAACGTTTACTGCAGCACATGAAATAGAAAACTAGTGATGTTTGTAATGTGCTATTGCTTGCCTGCTTTTGCAACATATTTGGCCTAAAATCCTGGTTGCACTCAAATCAATGAGAATTTCTTCTCCTATTCAGATCCAGGATTTCAGCAGCAGGATCTGTGATTTCTCCTGTTTATTTCTCCTTCTTAAGCTGTCCCAGAGGACCAGGTCCTCTTGCTCCGCAACTGCCTCATCTGTTCCTTCCTTCCGTTTCACCGGATTTCTTTGCACCATTAATTTTTCCTGTCTTTCTCATCCACGTGCACAAACAGATTCTAAAATGCTTACTCTAGAACCTCCCAATGAAGACAAGAGCCTTAGCAACAGAAATGACCCTGGGCAGGAAAGCAAATCACCTCCTGCCAAAGTTGAGCAACGGGATGGCAACCAGGGGGTTCTCTCTTTCAGGCTATTCCCTTTGGTGGGCTGAGATATCTCCTCAAACACATTTCATCATGCAAGAGCCCTCTTCCAGCACTGGCTTTTAGAGGGTGTTGGATGGAGGTATCCACCCTTCCTTCCTCAGGAGGGAAAGGAGCATGACTGCACACACCAGTAAACCTCAGGACATCTGTAAACCTCTGGACATCCCAAAGGAGGGGACGCTGCAGCCACGTACCCTGCAAAGCCAGCACTGGGCATTTCCCTAGGAAAGCACCATGGAAAGAAGATATACTTGCCAAATGACTCCTCCCCAAAAGAATGAGAAAAACACATAGAAGGCAAGGGATCCCCAAATCACAAAGTGGTTCATCCACGTCCAGAATCGAGTATCTAACGCTAGCTGTGGGAATAAAAAGAGACGGAACAGGCTTTAGATGCAGAGCGTATTTGATTGGATTTATATGACATTTCAGACTGGTTTCACATTAAGGTTGAAGGTTCTCCAAACAGCTACCTCTGAGCATATGGGCACCAGCAAAACATTTTCAATATCCACAGGCTGGTGCAGAGACAACAGGGAAACAGCGAGGTTCTAATTGTAACTGACACTTTTTAATAGAATAAATTTGATGCAACTTCTGATGCTACAGGAAAGAAATGTCTAAAGGTTACGGGGATTGTAATTGCCTCTTGTCACCACCTGCTGTCTGAATCAAACATAAAAGACCTTTTGTAAGGTCTTATGCAAACAGTTTGTTCTGGAAAGCTCCATGAAACAAAGCAGATTTGCTATTGTTATTTGACACGGGCTTTTGTGATTGCTGCAGCATTCAGCCTTGTCTGAAACAAGGTGGACAAGCTCAAATTCTCTATTGCTCCTCTTCTCTTGCTGGAACTAAACACCAAGGGGTGAAAGTGTGCAGAAAAGTCAACCATAACCAACTGGAGTTCTCAAAAGAGGGAAAAAGTAAAAAAATAATTTAACCAAAACATAAACACTTAAAGACCACAGACTATACAAAGGACAATAAGGAAGTTCTGCCTCTATGGAAGAGAAGATTTAAGTGTGGGGGAAAAACATATTCAAAGAAACTTAATTTTCAACACATTCACTTCACTGTTTTACAGCACATATACAAGCCTTGGAAAACGTCTGCAATGAGTGACTGGAAAAGGAAGGAAGATTCTAACCTTCAGAGTGACGGTGAACACCAGCACAGTGAAAACAATCGTCCCAAAGGTCCAGTTCCCAAAAATCTGAAAAACACGTTACATTGCCACAGGTGTCTTGGTCCATCTCCTTGGAGAGGCACAGAGATAACGATGAGGACAGGGGTGCAAGCAGGGACCGGAGGGGAAGGGTGGGATGGAACGACTGCTACGGGGGATTGATGCTCGGAAGACTCGCCGCCCACTACGGTACCCTGTGCCATGCAGTGCCACACAGATGGGTGACCCAGAGCTGGGACAGTGACAGGAACAACCTCCTACTAACAGCAATGTCAGTCGAGGATACAAGTCATTGGACCACCTGCTTTTCATGATTTCTTGGCAATTTACTCAGTTTCTGCTTTCTCGCAACAACCATCACCTCTTTGTAGTCCCATTTGCAGAATGCACCAATGGGTGTTTTTCCACCTGGTTTGGTTTGAAGATGCTAGTGACTACGCACACAAAGAAAAGCAGATACTGTATAGAAATCCAAATGATGGCAATGAATGGGAGGGATGCTTACCAAAGGTGGTCAAGATCTGAATGCATACATTAAAACAGAAAGTGAAATGTAAAAGTTTTCAAAAAACGCAAAAAAACTAAAGTCAATAGGAGCAAAAAAGGAATCAAACATACATGGATATTATGAACAATTGCTGGTAGCAGTTCTTACAGGCATAAGTGTTTACAGAACAGGACATAACCACAGATCTTATTTTAGTGCCACATAGACTTGACCTCTGAAGGCAGTTGCAGAACATATCAGTGCTTCATGTTTTATTCAAATACAACCAGAATGGCTATAAATACAGAAAAGCACTGATCTGACAATACAGGGACTTGACTACATATAGCTGGGGCCATAAATGTCAGCATTGATGCAATGTATGAATACACATACATAAATTTCATCAGCTTTTCTCCAAGTGTTAGCCGCTAAAAAAAGTTAGGTATTTTCAAGGGTAAAATACCCTTGGTGTAAAGAAGTTTTCCATCAATTGAGATCTGATAACATGCTGCACACTCCCTTGGGGAAAAGGTCCTGAGACAGCTCAGGTCACCACAAGTGGGAGCCTCCCTGCACTAATGCTTTGCTCTGTACTCAATTAACCAGCAAAACAAAAAGAAACAAGTAAAAAGTAGAAAAAGAAACCCTCAATCTTTTTTCCTCCTCTTTCTGTACAGCTCCCACACCTCGTTCACGCAGCGATGCAAGCGTTTGTCCCGACACCAGAGGCACGAGCAAGCAGGGACAACAGGACAACAGTCTGCTCATTCTGCAGCAGTGATGACTTCTGCTGGCTCCAAAACAGCAGCAATAGCCCAGCACCAGCCTTCCCCCATGGCAAAGAGAAATGGGAGGCTGAAATCACGCCCTGGAGCACAGTGCACAAGCAGCCCTACACCATGTCTGTGCTAACAAGCACCATCTCATCAAGGTGGGCTAATTCAGCTGCTTGTAACCAGCCAAGCACGTGCTGAATTTCAGGCAGTCACTGTTGAGAAGGACAGACACTGCTCCTGCCCTGGCCCAGCTGCTGGGATCAGACAGGAGAGGGGATGAGCATTGTGTAAAGCTCGCTGGGTGGGAAGAAAGCTGTGTGTAAGACTAGTCATTTTACCTAGTGAGTATAACCAGCTCTGCCCTGTTTCCATGGCGATTTGGAAAATGTTTTATTTCAAGCATTTGCTGCAGAATCACACCAAAAGCAAGGCTACACTGTTGGACAAGACTCGAGACACACTGCACAGATTAAGCACGTAGATATTCCCTGCCAGGCGTATCAAAGAGGCAGTGCACAAAAGAAACACTCATCTTCCTTTGTTTGGTGGCGTTACCTTTCCGTTATCTTCCAACGATGAATTCTGAAACAGAAAATAAACCCCAAAGAAAAACACGAGTCCTTCAAAAGCGCCCAGAAAGGTCCAGTACAGGAACGGCCTCCACTGCAGCATTGCATTATCTGAAACCTTCCTGCCAAGAGATGGAGCAAGAAGACCATCACCATCACATTTAGGAAGCACGGCAAAGCTCCCTGCAGGCAGGTGATCAGTGAGCTTTGGAGCAAACCCTTGCTGTACGAGGCAAGGAGGTACCCACATAAACACCAGCCAGTGTACAGGACATAAAGAACATTTACTATATGCAGCTGCTGATAATGAGAAATCACAGGAGGTTCAGCACATGAATTGTTTTGTCCTTCTCCTCTAGGTAGCTTGGATGAAAAGCCAAGTCAGCCCAAAGCCTACAAATGTAACACTGTCCTGAGCCTCTCCTGCAGTCCCCGCATCATCCATGGTATCTGATATTAAATGATAAATTTTTAAATCAGGGTAAGGCTAACGAGCACCCATATGGGATGCATCAAATCTGTGATGTGTTTCCCTCTTTTTGTAGATGCACAAGCTCTCCTTTTTTGAGAAAAGCTCTGCAAGTTCTATTCCTAAAATGGTGTCTTTCTGCACAGACTGAAAATAACCTCCTGAATTGTATGGTGGGTGTTTTTATCACAGGGGTTGTAGCAAGAGGCTCTTGGCTGAATATAGGATGAGATCTGGCACGGAGGCAGCAGCAGGAAATGGATGGGCCATGGGCAAAGCTCTGCAGGGACCACACGCAGGGCCTGGGGAACAGAGGGTGGCTATCAGGACATGAGGGAGTTAAACAGTTCCCTGCATCATTGTCTTTTCAGATTACTTTCTTTAAAATTTGAAGAATGATGGGGGATAAAAGCACTTTTATGTCAGAAGCAAAAATCCCTGTTCTTATCTCATTTTTCTTCCTAAGTCTTAAAGCAATACATTCATTTTCAGCAAGATGCACCTCGCAAACTGGTGTGGTGCTGGACTCCTGTAACTGCAGTTTCTAAAGCAAAACCCTACTGAATCCTAAGCATGATGATACCGTGACCATGCTCTAACATACCACAATTTGGCTATGAGAGAGGAGCAAGGATAAACCAGACTGGAAGGAGGGTTTATTGCAAGGACCAAAAATACAACCAGCTTCCTCCCTGTGAGCTCTGTTTTGCATTTCCATTTATGTCCTGCAGCTCTCATCGTAAACAGGCTTTTTACAGCGCCTCAGACTTGAGATCTGCACTGCAGCAGCTCAGCACTTCATACAGCAGTGGCACAGAGGGCGTTCTGCATTCAGCAGCACATGCACAGTCATGAATATTCAAACTAAAGCTGTTTTCCCTCAACAGGCAGACCCCAGAGATCAGAGAGCCCACCAGGTGAAGGCACAGGGCCCTGCTGTTATTGCTCTCTGTTGCACAATATTCAATTACCAATTTATTTAAAAATATATGTGGTGGCATTTTGCCATAAGAGTGGAGGAACACACAAGTCTAATTAATCATTGCTCTGAGTGCTTAATTTAAAAACGCCCAAGCCCCTTCCCAGCCTTACAGCTCTTGTTGTATTTGCTGATTTTTCTCTACCTAATGTAATTTTCATGCAGTATTTTAGGCACCTGCTAATTCCCTTTGCTGTCTCTGCACAGGTATCACTCTTGGTTAGAGCATGGCTGTGCACACATGGCCCCTCCAAGCCTGAGAAGCATCATACAGGGTGTGACAGGGCTTGCACAGGACACTGACCAAAGCAACCCTGACCTGGTCTCTCTGCACGGGGCTGAGCTTACTGCTAGGCAGGGGAATTAGCAACAGCGATGCATGAACAGAGGCTTCCTCAAAAAAACCCAGATCTTTCCTTAGTCCTTGCTGAAGGGCTGCACACAAGTGCCTGTGTGTGGGCAGAGGTGGGAGGAAGATGGGACGCATCTCTGTTTCCGTGGGAGGTTGGAGCCTCTCCCTGTTGCAACCAAGGAAGGAGAGTAAACAAACAGCAAAGCACAGAGAGACAGTCTAAACTGCCCTTTCCCCGGGCAATGTGGCAGAAAACCACACTGAGCATGTGGATCAATGAGCAGAGCTCTCTGGTAATATGGTTCTGATACAGGGACTTGGCCTGTGGAGGGGAAGCCTGGGGGACCATATCCATCTAGACAAGCTGAGAAGCTACCTGCCTGAGCTGGGTTTCAGAAACATTAACCTTTCTGAAAATTAATGGATCTCTTTTCATCCTGAAAGCTAGATCTCCCCTCCATCCACTACATGCTCTATCACGTGCTTGGCTCGTGCTGCCTGGCTCAAAGGTAATGTGAAAGAATGATCACTCACAGAATGAAGAATTCTTTTATAGAAACACATTGGTACAATTTGCTAGATCAGATACTGTCAGGAGAGCATAAACAAGTAGAAACAGCTGGTAACTGGGATGCTGCTCAGCTCAAATGCAGAAGCAGCAAACCCAGCAGGGACAGAAATGGCCTTTTCTGCAGTTCATGGCGGCTCCATCACCGACATGGGACAGGGACACCTGCACCAACAAAACTTAAACCATGGGTAACCAAGTTGTGTGGAGGCTCACCCAGTCCAGTGCTACTTACATGTACAGCTGAGGATCCGAGGTCAGCGTGTCGATGCTGATGTGCTGCTCCAGGAGGCTGTAAGCCAGGATAGGTAGCGATGTGAAGCAGATGTTGTACATGGTCAGATAAGCAGCATCATACAGTGGCTTAAAAGAAGAAGAAAGAGTAAAATAAGACACATAGAAATGCCACTTTAAAAGTCTCTCCGCAAAGAAATTAAATGTTTCCAGCCCTTATCTCCTACCTACCCTACAGAGTCATCCCTCTGTCACAGCCACATAGGACAGCTTCATTTGACAGAATGCTCATGCTCTGTGCAATGCAAGAGGGAACAAGGCACCCACAGGCTGCATGGCCAGGAACCTGCTCCCACTGACAGGAAGTTTTGTAACTGGCTGGTCTCATCTCCAGCACATTCTCCAGAAACACATGACTAAACAGCCCTTATCACAGCTTTTCTGTTGCTGCTCTTGTGCTGCCATTTCTGTTAATATACTTGATGCCTTCTGTGGCTCTCTAAAGACTAGACTGTTTTAGAGGAACTATAGCTACTTTTTTTTAAAACAAGAAAAAGGCAAGTAGTTTTGCCAAGGCAAGCACAGAATTATATCATTTACTCTTCCTCAGCATTACTTTTGACCCCAAGCAGACATAAAAGCCAAAGTTTTTGTCTCCAAGCACATGAACCCACTCACCAGATGAATGTGTCCCTCTGATGCTCACTTGGACTAAGCAAGGCTCTCATGACAACTAAGTAAGGCTCTGATGACACTCACTGTGTGTCTTTTTTTAAAGCTGCCATAAAAGAAGGAACTGTTCTTCCTTTTGAGTGACACTTTTAACGCAAGGAAACGCAGCAGAGGAGACAAGATCAGGAAGCCCTTGAAAACTTGTTCTCTTTAAGAGAAGCAGAAGTAGCAAAATCGGGTACTGACAAAACAGCTAAACCCCTCTCTCATTACTTCAGGAAGGCATCCACCTTTGTTTATGGCTGGTGGATGGGAAAGGAAAGAAAGCAGGTTTCCTCCTTTTCAGTTATGGGTCTCACGATATTATGTTCCAGATATGGTGCTGAGCACCAAGGTCAGGTCCTACTGTCCTGTAGAGCAAGGTGATGAAGGGACAGGATGCCAAAAGCCAAGTGTCTGCTAGGAAGGCTCATTATGCCACTTGCTTTTTATCCTACCTTTTTAGACAAATTACTGGAAATTACCTGCTGTGAGAATCCACAGAAGAACTGGTATAAAAATTGCGGTAAAATGAAGCAAAGGTTCTATGGAAACAAAACACAAATGATCAGCAGGGAAGCACTTGACTTCTCAATCTAAATCCAAGTAGTTTTTCCTGTTATCAGACATTTGTGTCTGATATTACAACATCAGACAAGGCAGGGCACTTGTTCTACCAAGCACAGAACTAATCCAGTGAGCAGCTAGCATCTGCAGAAGACACTGGAAGAAAGTCATGCTCATATTCCCTTGTAAGCCCTGTTTTCAATGGACAGGCACCTGGCAGACACAGCCTGCTCTAGGGAAGGAAATCAGAGCTGCAGAATATCCTATTTTTTCCCTGATTATTATTTCATTCTATTCCCAAGAAATGCAATAGTATAAACAAAGAGATAAGCAACACCCCCTCTTACCTTATAGAAGAAATACTGTACAAGGTGTGCTATTCTCACATAATATAAATGCCCATGTGCTAGTAGCAGTTTTCTTAAATGTTTAAACTTTGGCACAGCATAGTCACTGTTTCTGGAAGCCTGACGTCCTTCTTTGCCTTTTATACCTGGAGACAGAAGCATGGCAAGGAGTTAATCCCTAAGGGGCTGGAATCTGGATGCTACCCACTAGGTTTGCTCACATCACTCAGTGTCTCAAGGCGTGACAAAGGCTGTGTTTCCCTGAGTGTCCCAGGAGACCAAAACACTAACATGCTTGCCACGGTGTGGTTTTGGCTCCACAACACTCAGACCTGCCTCTGGAGTTTTTCAGCTATATTTAGGCTGCTGTCTGATTTCCTGTGTAAGACCGTGGTGAAGAGTATCTAAGCAAATCTGATAAAAGATAAGGAACTGGTTTCCCCACAGGCTCGCCCACATCTCACACAGCAGAGTTATTTCACTGCAGATGCTCAGCCTCCTGAGACATCCCCACAGAGAAGGGCTAAGGACACACAGGGTTTTTTCACTGAAAAGCCACAGTCAAACGAACTGCACTGGATCCTATTCATTAGAGGGCACCACAGCATTTCCAACAGCCCCAAATAAAGAGCCTGCCCTTTCTCTTCCACTGACACTTTTTTAGTGGTATTATAAAAATCTCATGTATCTCTGACACCAACCAGCAGACAGGAGGGTAGTTTCCAGCCTCATGTGAGTCGTATGGACAGCACAGACACAACAAGACTGGGCATCAGCCCCTGGGAAAAATGTGCAGGTCCCCAGTGCTAAGTTACTGAGTTACTGTGACCAGTTAATGCTAAAGTCTGATACTTCCATGGCACTGACTTTGCAACAACTCCCACTAATCACCCACCAGTTTGCTGCCTGTGCCTTTGTTTTCTGAGCCCCAAGCAACCCTTATCACCACGAATTTGGCCATAGAGTTTTTGAACATAATCTGCAGCACATCACCGATGGAGAGAATGGTACTATCGCAGCTGAGCAGCACATGATGACCTCATCTCTTTCTCATTTTACAGTGGGAGTGGTAAAACATTGGCACAAGTTGCCCAAAGAGGTGGTGGATGCCCCATTCCTGGGAAGATTCAAGGTCAGGTTGGACAGGACTGAGCAGTTTGAACTAGTGAAGATGCCCCTGGTCACTACAGGGGTTGGACTAGATGGCCTTTAAAGGTCCCTTCCAACCCAAACTATTCTATGACCTCAAGCACTGATCTGGAGTCAAGCCCTGGCTCCAAAGAAAGCAACAGCAGAGTTTCCACATTTTTCAGTAGGATAAGTCTAGCCATGTGCAATCAGAAACACTGTCTGCACCTCAACAGTGAACCCCTGCAAGAGCAGACAGGTCTTGGGCATGAGATGTGTGTTATCAGGAGGTCTTACCTATTCCAACATGTGCTTCCAAAATCATACTAACATCATTTGCACCATCACCTATGGAGAGGGTTATCGGGCTTCCTTTTGTGTTCTTCACCATTCGCACAATCTAAAATATTTAAAAAAAGGATTGCAGTAGAACCCAAAATTCAGTTAAAAAGCCTCCAGAGATCTTCCCACCGTCCCACTTGCAAAAAAGCCCTCCCACCAGGAAAAGCAACCAGGCTTCTACAGCAGCAATGTAATACCTGGAGAGTTCAGGTTAATAAAATCCTGGTTCAGAGTTCAGGTTAATAAAAATAAAAAAAGGGGAAGTAACCCCTTGTTACTTTCTTTGCAGTCACAATTAGAGCAAAAGCCCAGATCCAGCTGCACAGGGTTTAAGGACAGTATTTAAAAACAAACCCAAGCAGCAGCATCCTGCTCTTCCCCTCTGCCAGACCCTGCTGTCCCAAAGGTGGGACCTCTCACGTGCCTCAGGGTGCAGAAACACACCACTTATCAGGTTGGGACATCCATCATCTACTGTCATGAGGAAGTTATGGACTCCACCTGACAAATTCGGAAGGGAAAAATAAGAGCAAACAGGGGGGTTGTTTATTTTCAATTGCCCTGGGTTTGTGGCTTCCTGCGAGCATATCAAACAAAGGGTCTGCATTCAGATTTGAAAGAATGGTGCGTTTTCATCACGCTCTGAAGCTCAGACAAGGCTTATACACAGCCTGGAGAAGTCCTGGTTGATTAAGATGATCAGGTCAAGTCCCAGCTGATGAATTCAAAGTGCATCACATCATCTAATGATGAGCTTCAGTCAGTTAGAAGTAAATACCTGTGCTTTCTGTAAAGGAGCCATCCGGCAGCAGAGGACTGCAGTGCACTTCAAGCAGATTTGTAGAAATATGTTTTTGTAATTGCTAGAACCAGAGTCCTGAGAAGGGTTGAGTATCAGTGACAGCGTCGAGCCATCTATAATCAGTCCGTACTCTTGACTCAACGTCCAGCTTCTGGGGCACAACAAGGAACATGTTTGAAACAAAATCAGACTAAGAAGTCAATCTAGCTGCTTGTATCATCTTAGTGAAAAAGAAATTGCTGTTGTATTAATCTTCTTTTCATCCATTCTTGAGGGCTTAGCAATCTTAAAAAGCTCGGATTTAACATGCACCCTTCTCCAAAGGAACTGTGTATGTAATTTCAAAAGCAACTAATATTAGAGATGATGAGCAAAGTGAAGGAGCCAGTCCCCAGGGCCACAAGGTCCTATTTCTCTATCAAATTTGCATCTGAAATTCACCATGGCTGAGTCCTCTTGCTCACTTACCTCTTCAGGCCTCCCCGGTTTTTGGGAACGTCCTGAATCAGCTTTTTATGGTACTCCATCAGCAGCTCATGGAGCCGATCCTCCTTCCTTTCACTCTCACCCACGGTCCTTGCCGTTAGCTCCAGCAGCTCAGTGCTGGTCTGGAAGAGCCTGCAGGCATAGCAGGTGGATTTGGCAGTTTCCATCTTGTCTCCTGTCAGCACCCAAACCTTCATGCCAGCCGCGTGCAGAGCTTCGATCGTCTCTGCCAACTGCTCCTGCAGCCTGCAAGCACAAGGGAAACATCACTCCTCAGGTTGGCCTGCACCTAATCCACATAACCCTGATTCTGCAGGTAGGAAATACCAGCTCAAGAGAAGTTATTTGATTTTGCCCATGCTGGGGAGATCACTGCCACAGGAATAAGGATTAGAAATCAGCAATCCCAAGTTTTTGTCTGCAGGCAAAGAGAGAAATCACTGCATTATACTCTTGACTCTTAGGTCTCACAGTAAGAGTTTAATTCACACTTGCAGTTACTATAACTGCATGTGGAACTGAATTTGTTTTGATGTGCAAATTAATGCTGTGTGCTTAATTCACACTCTGGAAGTACAAGTATTTTGGTAGTTTTATTAATAAATCCCAATTTCTACTACACCAGCCAATTTTAGCAACTAGGGCACTGTGAAATGGGTTGTGCCATGGTGTAATTCATTGCCCTGGACACTGCCAGCATCTGCCTGGCTGCTCAGTTCCACCACAGCGAGTCAGGGCCACGATGCAACATCACAGAGACACCACAGGTACCACAGTGCTGGTGGTGGGGTCACCTCTTTACCTGTCTTCTACAGCAGTAGCCCCAATCAGGTGCATGTCTGCTTCTGTGTCGTCAAAAACCTTGGCCATCTTCTCCTCCCTGTCCTGCAGAGCCATCTTAGCTTCATTGAGCTGCCTGTCAATTTTGTCATACTCCTTTTGAGTTAATTCTTTGAAGGCCACGCAGAGCGTTCGATAGCCATCCTGGTGTGGGAAGGGGAAAGAAAACAAAGTGGACAAGTGCCCTAAAACTAGATTCTCTACAGCTCCTCACTTTAGGGTTAGTGCTTTTGTCCACCGTCAGTGCTTCTGGCAGTATTGACCCTGAAGGCAAGGACAATTTGCTGGCTTGAGTCAAAAGAGAGATTTTCTCAGTGTTTATACAGTAACTTCATCCCCACAGACTAATCGTGGTTCTGCTTATCATGTGCAGGGCATAGGGCAGAGAGAAATTAAGAGAAGGACCAGAGTTGAGAGTGTGCACCTGACAGGGAGAGCAGGGACCAGTGCCACCACGACTGGGACCAGGCACTTCTCCCACTGGACTAAACAGCCTGTTGTTGTTACTTCTATTTTTAACTTGCCTGGGAGATGCTTGGACACAACTGTGATGGAGACCATGTAAGTATATCAAATAAAGGTGGAAGCCAACGGCACAGAAAAGGAAAGAAGCCTAGCATCAAAACAATGTGAAGTGACACTCAGATTTTCAACACTTCCCTCCAAAGCAAGGTCACATCCCTATTTTTGGAATAAAGCTTTCCTGATCCCAGAAGCCAGCCAAATTCCATCCGTGTGCTCACCATAGCATTGCGGTCCACATGGACTTTTGTTTGTTGGATTTCTTCTTGCTGCACCCTTGGAAAAATAGAGGAATCTGCTCCTTTACAGAAGAGAAGCAACTTTCCTAAAAGGAAATTATAAATAGTTTATAGCATTCATAAGCTGTAGAAAAATTTAACAATGCCAATCGTGAGCAAGTGATGCTGAGGGAGGAAATCTGGCAGGACTAAAGAAGGAATTGCTAGAAGCCCAGCTGACTACCAAAAGTGGTCACACCAGCTTGTGTAAAATCTTGTTTGACCCCAAGTTGGGACATCAGGTGTCCCTACCTGCTTCTAAGCAACCTTCCTGCAACAGGCTGGACAAAGCAGTTTATTTTTTCCTATTTAGAAGCCTTGGTAACCTTACCAGGGAGAGTAAAACCAGCATCCCATACCTTATAGGACTGACACTTGAGAAGCATGGTGACCTCTGAATTTTTGTCTGTTGTCCCCATGAAACCCCATCTCACTCAGGGGACATTCTCACATCTCTCTCTCTGTACTTGTTCCAGCCTGGAACAAGGCAGGCAGGAAGCTCTCCATGGGTCACTGTTCCCACCCCTGATCTGATGCTGGGTCCCAAATGGCTGCTACGGAGGAAAATTAACTCTATCCCAACCAGACCCAGTACAGAATTTAGTTAGATCAGCTTAAAAAACTAAAAGCTCAGTCTCTCTGGGTTACAGGAATAAGAAGAATGTGTTTTATATCCATGCACATACGTATGACAGTCCACAAATGCACTTGGACTGTACCTGTGGTGGTTCTCACAATGACACTCATACGGCGACGGACAGGGTCAAAGTTCAACACATGGAGAAGTTGGTACCTTAAAAAAAAAAAAGCTTTGACTCAGTAAAAGAAAACCAGAAAAATAACTATTTGAGACAGAAAATCACTAACAATGAGCTGCAGAAATCAATACACTCTACAAGAGGCATCACCCACTGGGGAATGTACTTTTTACAGCTACTGCACAAGACAATGGAGAAAAAAACTGAACTCCAGTGGTGCTCTGAGCATAGGGCTGAGGGTGTGGGTGCCACCACCGTGCCAAGTCCCCAGGGTGGGCAGGGGCTCAGCAGGGAGTGTAGAACCACATGGCACAGGCAGCAACACTGACTCTGCCAATTAAGTAAGAAGTTTCACCGTAAAGGAAGTAAGAAGTGAAACTTGCTTGTGAAGGCAAGTTCTCAGGGAGCGCTGGGATTAGGTCAGTGACTCTCAGGTATCCACCAAGCTGTGAGCACAGGGTAAAATCTAACTATTTTCAGCTTGGGAGGGGAAAAAAGGTTACAGGGAAGGGAGACGTATCATATGTTTAGGCTTACAGTATCCTGCTGTGACACCCAGCCACTGTCCATAAGGTCAGCAGCCACCCTGTGAATACCCAGAGCCATCTGCATGTCTGGGCACGGATGAAGAATACACGCAAAGGTCTGCAGGCTCTTAAGGGACCTGAATTTAGACGTCAGTAAACCTCCCGCGGATTTTTGCAAGCGAGCCTTTCAGCCTGCACCTCGCTGTGCTGTGCTTTGTAAAGAGGACAGGACTTTTCAGGCAGGTCAGCATGGCCTGACAGCCCTCAAGGAACAGCTTTGACCTTGCCAGGTTGACCAAACTCGCTTAAGCCATTTGGGAGCGGCGCAGAAGAGCAGCCTTGTTCCTCGGCAGCCCCAGCAGCACTTACATCTCAGTTTCATTCTTTTGGTTTCGTATTTTCATGAAATCGTTTTCAAGTCCTAGAAAAGTGAAACCATACCTGTCAATAAACAAAAGGACAGAACAACATTGAAAACACCCATTGGCACATATTATACATTAACAATGTTCTCGTTTCACCTTCTGAACTGCAGAGGAGAGTAAAGAAGTTAGTGAGCCTGAGCTAAAGAGCACGGCTGGATGTTTGCTTACTGCATGGACAGCCTGCTATGATGTTCTGGCACTGCTCCCATCACCTGGAGAGCTTGGGCATTGGAGCACAGAGACATCAAGAGCCTCTGGACATGGTCCACTGGGTCTCTGGCAGATTTACAAGCCATGAGCAAGTATATACAGCTGCAACAGCCTCATCTAAAACCTAGGGCCTGGCAATAGCATCGAATCCCTGAATGGTTTGGGTTGGAGAGTATCTTACAGTTCATCTAGTCCCAACCCCCTGTTCACTAGTCCAGGTTGCTCAAAGCCCCATCTAGCCTGGCCTTGAGCATCTCTGGCAGGACACAAATGTGGCGTTGACAAAAGTAACCCACCCTATGGTTTGCCACTGCAAGCCAAGGAAACAATTTCACTGCAATATGCAAATGGTAACTGGTCTCTGTTTCTCAGGGATTAAACTACAAGGCCATGAGGGCTCCAGCAAAGGAAGGAATTGAAAACCCAACATCTTCAAATTCTTACTTTTCTGCGCCTTTCACCAAAGCGATTTCATCTGGGGAAGAGGAGATGTAGGTGTATTTGCGCTCTGGGTGTCCTATCAGCCCATCCACCTGGTCTGCTTCCTTGATCTGAACCGTGTGGCACAGGCAGAGGGCTCGCAGGAACAGCTCCTCACGGCTCTAGGCAGAAGTGAAGTAGGGCTTGTTACCAGTCCACCTTGCAGTACTTGGTTGTGATTTTTGTGTACACATATTTAAAAACCAAAAAACTCCAAACCCCACACCCCCTCCCAGCTTCTGTTGTATTCACCCAGCCAGACTAATCGTGGTTCTGCTTATCATGTGCAGGGCATAGGGCAGAGAGAAATTAGGAGAAGGACCAGAGCTGAGAGCGTGCACCCGGCAGGGAGAGCAGGGACCAGTGCCACCACGACTGGGACCAGGCACTTCTCCCACTGGACTAAACAGCCTGTTGTTGTTACTTCTATTTTTAACTTGCCTGGGAGATTCTTGGACACAACTGCGATGGAGACCATATAAGTATATCAAATAAAGGTGGAAGCCAACGGCACAGAAAAGGAAAGAAGCCTAGCATCAAAACAATGTGAAGTGACACTCAGATTTTTTAGTGGAGCTGACCACTAAACCCTAACAGCCACCAATATGCACACTTCTTACCTTTTCTGCCTTGCCGTAGTATTTCGGGAGTCCATCGGTCTGAGCGAAGCCATCCACCTCCGACATGCAGTCTTTGTACTTGTGCCCATCTATGCAGCACTCGATGAACTCCATGCTGTTCTCTGTCAGGGTGCCGGTTTTGTCCGTGAAGACGTACTCCACCTGGAAGCAAGCAGGCAGGCTGCCTCACTGCACCTCCAGCCCCATCTGTCGGGGAAGGAGCCCCGCCAGAAAAAGAGGCCGGGGCATTTTACTGCATCTGTGCCCGTGTTGGAGAGCAGTACTTTGCTGCTATCCTAACCTGACCCTACAGAAAAGATGCAGGTGCCCCACTTCATCACTGTGTAGTTCTTCTACTTTGCTCCTTAGAGCAGCTCCTTTGTTTTTCAGCCTGTTTCATGGGTGGCAGGAGGCAGCTTCTGAAGATTTAAAATCTGTTTCCAGTTTCTTCACTTTCCCCTCATCCTCTTTCTTGAGTACTTTGCTATAGCTCCTTGTGCTTGCAGAACTGCTACTTCAGGTCTACTGCCTCCTTTGGGGGATTTTCATCTTGGTGCTGTGTTTCAATTAGTTAATTGCTACTCCAAATATATTTTTATTGTTTTTTAAAGCAAAATTAAAAGCAGGAAGCACTACACATGCCCTCCATCCAGTCTCTCCTGGTGCAGATAAGAAAGGAGCTGCCTAGGTGCCCCAGCAGCAGAGCAGTTGCAAGTGCTCTGCGTGCCCAGGGAGGTGACTGGGCAGACATTTTTGTTAATCCTCAAAGAGACAGAGGATTTTTAATTTTTAATTGAAGCAGTGAAAGCAAACCACCCTGACACGCAGAGTGCTGCGCCTGATATTCCCCAATATGGAAACAATTGGCGTGACCCAATTCCTGCTCTTTCATGCACTATTTATAACCTTATCTGTTTCGCAGAGCGAGGGGAATCACATTAAATGGAAAGTGCCACCAAAGCGGGTGAAGCTCTGCCCTGAGGGGACCGTGAGGGACCGCCACAACAAGGGTTCCCAGCAGGGGGGGGACATTTTCACCCACACTTTCATCCAAGCAGATGCAAACAGAGCGTGTTCTGACCTGCCCGAGCTCTTCGTTCAGGTCTGAGGTGTTCACCAATGCTCCCTCCTTTATTTCTTCGTCGTACATCTCCTTGTCCCAGGAGATGAAGAAGGAGCCCAAGAACTTCTGCATCTCTACTGTAACATACATGGAGACTGGGATAATAAAATTGAAGAGAACCATAAATGACAGGAAGTCCGTGAACATCCGCAAGACCTACAAAGGAAAGAGAAGATGTAGTCTGTGCCCATCAGGAGTAACTCAAGGCCAGTTTACAGCAACACCTCGGGGATTTTAGACAGCTTCTAAAGTTAAACAGATAAAAAACAACCCAAAAATGAATACAGCTAAGATACAGGGCTAAATCCAATTTTTGACACAAAAATAAAAGAAAGCTCCATAGTGACCAAAACAATGTTTTATCCAAGCATATTCCTCTTAACAGTATACTGCTACAGGTCCATCCCAATCCCAAGTAACTAGAAACAAGGAGCAGGTATCTTGAGACTAGTCAAGTTATGGCAAGGGTACAACTGATTCAGTGACATCCCTGTAAGTCCTGTTCAATAACCCATCAAATAACAGATCTCTACACACTTGCACTCTCTCTTTCAGGCTTGACTGCCCATGTCTCGGCAAGTTTAAGAAACTGGTTGATGTGGCCTCAATTTAAGTTTACCTATTCAAAGCTGAAAGATAGCTCCAGTTCAGATAAGGACCCAGGTTAAATCAGCTGCACTTCTATATTATATAGTATTTATTTATGCCTTGCCCTGCTCCACACAAATATCACTGTGCACAAGCACGAAAGAGGCAGGAAAGAAACGCAAACAGCAGGAGAGACCGAAGGAAACGACAGCACTTTCTGCGGGCAAACAGGACTCACAGGGCTGGCAGCAGGCACCACGATTAAATAAAACCGTCAGAATAGGTAAAGCTGGAGGAGGTGCTGAAATACAAATCCACTTACCTTGAATGTCTCTCTCTCTTTTTTAGTCTTTTCATTGTACCAAGGCTCATCATTAAATGGATTACTCTGCCAGACGTATTTCAGAGTCGTGCACACAGTGGCCTTGCTCAATAGGATGCACAAATACACTATCAAGAAAGCGTTGATAGATCTGAAAAACAGGTTTCTTTTTTCAATTCTTGCAGCTATTTTTATATAGAAAACTCTGTAAATAAGCAGGAACAAGATTTCCTTACTTTTAAAAAGGGAAATACAGAACAAGTGCTTTTGACACTGCTGATATTCAGGGTCAGGTTCATATATTTTAACATCTCTTAATTTTGTTTTTAAATTAAAAAAAGCTACTAAATTATGCTGCTTCTCGCAAGATACGCTTTATCAAATACCCAGATTTTCCTATGCAATCAGAGAGCATCTGCAACAAAAGGCAGTAGATTAGGGGATTATGTCTGTACAAGTCATCCATTAAAAACAAAAACAAACCCAACAACTCTTACTGATTTTTTTCTGGAATATAAATACTCACTTTTCCACTGCAGACCGTTTCTGAGATTTCCCTTGGTAGTTCAGAGCCATTTTTGTCTCCATTCCAGTATAGACTGCAACTCCTGCAGGGTATCAAAGCAGGGCTCGTAAGGGACTTGCAGCCCCAGAGGGACCCAGCTGGCACTTGACCATAAGGGGCATCGGTGTTTACATCAAACTCAAATCCCAGCTGAAGAAAGAGGCATTACCCAAGGACTGTTCAACTACAGAAATCTCTGAGGCTGCCAAGTAATGCAACTGCATGTATCCCAGAGGACTGAGCGGGAGCCTATGGATCACATACAGTCAGAAAAACCATCAGTCTTCCATAACAGCCGTCACCCTAAATCATTAGTGTCTGGAACTCTGCTCCTAGCACACTTCCAGCAAAGGATTTGGGAACAACTCCTTGCTCACTGTATCTCAGGCAAAAAGAAAAGCTTGCTCTGGTGTATAAATACAACCTGCAGAGCTTGGCAGCACTGTAGACACAACCACTGCCTCCTAATTTCACCCTGTCCACTTTGCAATCAGCTTGCATGCCAGACACAGCTGTACAGCCCAGGCACACAGGCTGTAGAGAAGTATTTTCCCTCTACAAATTTAGCAATGAACATCTACATTTTTCATCGTTTATCAAAACTATTTAAGTGAATAAGTAATAAAAACTGTTCACCATAAATCTTCTTGGTATTTTTGAGGGTAGCACCTTTCAGCAACAGGTTTTCAGGACCCAAAGACCTAAACATAAAAGAAATTATAACATTACATTATTCAAACAACATTCAAACTACTTTATAATTTAGACTCAGAGACAGATTATAAAGCTAAACAGATGCTCTTTAGATTTGAGTACATGATTTGTATGTAAAATTGGGCCTTGCTTGAGTTTGTTTTTCCTCTTTATATACTTACATTTGCATTTCATCTTACACAGACTATCCCTGATGCTCAAAGTCCCACATTTATTGAGGGATTATCAGTAAGGCTTTTGAGGAATAAGTGCAAAATGTTCAGACCTCATATGTTCCAGTACTTAGATTAAAATCCGATTTTAAAAGCATCAAAGCACAGTCAATCAATGACACCATCAAAACTGGTGGCCCCATTTATGTTTTTATTTCTCTCTGAAACCCCCACTGACACTCTGTTGACCCCCATCCATGACCCTCTCTTGCTTCCAGGGTATGAGTAGACCCACCACAGCACAAAAGACATCCAGCATGCTCCAGTGACAGCTGACTTTTTTTGATGGTTTATGAACATTATTTGCTCATTTTTTCCCTGAAATGCTCTGATTGATGTTTAAGTTTTTGCTTTCCTTTGAATGAAAATATTTTGTGATTGCCTGGTAAATTTGTCTCCCATCAGCAGGGCAGGACATTACCAGGTGGTCCTGCACTGCTTCCCCAAGAGGGGCTCAAAAAAGTAACAGGATGGCAGAAGGGAGGTCTCCTTTTATAATGAAATCTTTGGGATGGTTAAAGAAAAAAAACATTCCCAAATGATGGCAGCACAAGTTCAGATCCTTGAAATTTTATGTAGATGCCCAACCCCTCTGAGGAGGGCCAGCAGATGGCTGTAAGACCAACCTGGCTACGGGCTCCTGGTTGCTTCTGTAGATGATAATTCTTCCAACAAATCTGTAATAAAAATATGAGAAACTTCTATTACAAACATCTTATAGATACTACAAACATACTAAAGAAAAATCACCGATGGGAGACGGAAGCAAACACAGAAATGAGCGCATTTGAGAGTTTAATGTTTCAGAGGGGTGGCTGCACTCAGGACAGGGAGAAATCACACACCCCCAGGGCCAGGGGTGTCCCTACATGCCCCAGCACATCCCCATTACAGACTGCAACACACCCCAGCAAACCTCCTTCAAAGGATTTAACCACAAAGACCCTTACTCCTGGAAGTCATTTGGCCCAATGCATTTCACCTGGGAGGCAGAGTGGCTAAGATAATCACACGGACCATTACTAGAGCTGAGCTGACAAAAAGAAAGCTCATTACACCATGGCAAGTGTTGCATGACAGAGGTTTTCCTGCAAAGACATTCAGCCTTGAAGAAGTATGGCGTTGACTTTGCCATCCTCATATGGAAGGAGCCTAAAAGCTTATCACTGCCTTCACAAACCTTTTGGTCAAACTAAAAGATGGCCTTTGCTTTGCTGAAGTGTAACTTAGTACATCTCCCAAATGATGGGGCTGAGGTGTCTGCAAGGACATCGGGCAGGAGGGGCAGGGAGGGAGGCAGGAGGGGCAGGGAGGGAGGCAGGAGGGGCAGACTCACTTGTAGAGGTCAGGCTGTGGCTGTTCACACTCGATGGTGGCAGTGAGGGTGTCGATGGCTTCATCTGTACAGAGCACGGTGGTGTCCCGCACTGCGTAGTGAGTCTGGGCAGAGGAGAACAGGCAGTGTCACCACAAGCCCCCAACAACCCCATCCCCGAGTTTTACACTCTTGTTACTTAAAATGCCACCATGCACAGGCTTGTCAGCACCAGCAGCTCACCCAAGCCCTCACCATGCTCCCACAAAGCAGCTGAAGCAGCTCTCAGTGAAAGAATGAAGTCACTAAAGCTTAAGAAAAACCACAGTGGAAAGAAGCTGCTGAATATCGCTCAGTAAGATATCTACCAAAAGCAGAACATCTTTGGTTGTTCCCTAGGGACCTGTCCTGGTTGAGGTGGGGGGAGGATGCAGGTGACCCCTGAAGAAGGGGCTCCCGAGGACCACTTGCCCTGGCTCCTGATGGTAACTAGACACCAGCTCCAGCACCCAGGGATCAGGCAGAGCACGGGCAGACTCCAAGCTATTTTTAGCAGCTGCTGCTGCAAAGGTTCATCTCTCATAATTAACTGGAAAGCCCACAAAGGATCTGCTCGCTGCCTTTCAGGCTCTATTTATAGGAGCTACTCAGAGCTCCAAGTCACGGCGGGCTGCACGGCACGCTGCCTCCATCCATCTTCATAAACAAATTCATTAAAAAGCTTCCTCCACTCCTTACGTTTGCATCCCCCTTCTTGTGCATCCCAGGGAGCACCATTACATTACACACACTGTAGTCATGGCATCATAAATAGCCACCTTCGTGCCGTTCTGGTAACCTGCCTGGCTGTTCGTATCGAAAGCAGACACACAAACACACACGCCCCTCCAATATAAATCACAGCTTTCGTGAAACACGACTCAGAGCTGTTCCTGCAGTGCCCAGTACCAAACCCAGCCCTTGTGTGGGGTTTTGCATCTGCTGCTCCCATAACCACAGACACTGTGCAATTACTGAGTGATACTTCAAAGCTGTCTCCTAATCAATTCCACAATCTTTACATCCTCTAGTGTATTTGGAAAACACATGTTCTTTTAGCTAACGTATGACCAAAGATTTGAGCTTCAAAGACAGAGCCCTGACAAAATCTCTTTTATGGTTCTGCTCCAGTTTCACTTAATCAGGCACCTTTCCCATATCTCGACCTGACAAGCCCCAAATACCAGAAAAATCTCCACCAGGAAGACAGCAGATATCCATGCAGATGGTGATTTTGCAGCAAACCTTGGTTCCTAAATGTTAGACCTATTTCCTCAAAAAGAACTGGCTTTTCTATTCCTCTTTCCCTTCAAACTCATCTTCATCTCATCATGAAACAGGAGACAGCTCCCATCACCTACAGGAATTTGCAAACCAAGAAAAACACAACACCAGTGCTTGATATAGAAACTCAGCATCACACTTACAGACTCACAAGTTACTAAGACCCAAGACTCTGCAAAAGTAATGTGAACTCATGCATAGAATACACCTGACACAAATAAGCAGTAGCCTTTTTAATATGGTTATCTATTTTTAGCCTCAAGCCACTTCAAAGCTCCAACTCCTCTTCACTAGTGGAACCAGTACAGTGCACCAGCACTGCATCAGCTCCTACACAAGTCATCCAGAACCAATTAACAGCTGGCAATAGAGATGAGCCACAAACCCCAGATAACACTTATCAGATCCACAGTGGTATTCCCAATGACTTCAGAGTGTGCTAGAATGAATTATGTAATTTTAAAGTATCTTCCAGTCTTACTACTGCAGCTGCTAGTATCTGTATAAAAAAATTATCAAACTCAAGTGCAACCAAATGTTCATGTTTTCTGAGGTAGATAAGTTTTTTGTTGTTGCTTCTTTCCCTAGATTAGAGAGTAAGAAAGAAAGAAAATAAACTGAAGAGATTCACCCTGAGCAAGACTAGTATTAAATTTCACTTCTTGCTTCAGGGAAAGGGAGAAAAAAAAATCCCAGAAGCAACGCTTTTCTCACGCTGGTGAAAAATTCCCCAAATGAATCTGGACATACTGCCTGAAAAAGTCCCCAGTTTCACTGGAAATGCTTGGTTAAGTAACAGGTACGTTGACAGGTACTGGAAAGGGAGCTGAAGAGCTGCAGGCACTGCTTTACTGACGCACCAGACCTCGCAATGCGCGGCTGGAGCAGGGAAGCACTAACATGCTTCCCGTGCTGGGCAGTAAGGCAGTGAAGCTGTATTGATAAATATCAATACAATTTGGGGCTGTGCCAGCAGAAATGGCTTTTGGAGACAAAACAGAGCACAAAGAATCCCCGAGGGCTTCAGTGCTGATGCACTGGAAGCAGACAAGAGGGAAGAGCTGTTAAATGCAGCCATGCAGCCACAGGGATGGGCTCCATGGGAGCACCCTCCAGTTAAGTGCACCCTTCTGCCATGCAAGCAGTGGCACCTCCAGGTACCAAAAGACCACCTCCCACACACTGTCCCATCCATTCCTGTCACCTTGAAATTGGACTCGCCATCAAGACTCGCTGTAGTGACATAACAGGTCCCATCAATGCTGCTGGAGGCCAAAAATATCAAGTCACAGGGGAAGGTCTCATCTGCTTTCACTTCTACTATGTCACCAACCTAGAAGATAGAAAATATTTACATGAAAAGCCCTCTCAGTTGTTATGAGATGGTTACAATTTAGCTTCTCTCAAAGCCCAGAAGAAATCACCTTGGCTAAAAAGGTAAACTGGGGTTCAAGAGGTGTTGGGTCCTTAAGCATCACCCCACAAGCCCTACAGGGTGATCCAGACCATCACCAAATCAGAGCATCCACATGGTACAGTTACTGTTTATTTCTCTGCTAAATCTTGATGGAGCAAGAGACTGTACTTGTCTGAAGTGCGGCGTGATAAATTAACGTCAAAGCTAAGTGTACTTTCCTGGTGTCCTTGGGAGAGTTGGAAATAGAAGAGGACTGCCCGTCCTGGAGAAGTGCAAAACGCTGACAGATCTGTCACTTGTCAGCCCCAGTTCAGCTTTTGTGAGACAGCTTTTCAAAAGCAATCAAAGGCAGCTTCACTCCTTAAGCAGGAACAGCTCTCGAAGCATCTCATCTGAAAGTGAGCAGGCTGGGGCAGCTCTAACCCAGTACATCCCTCCTCCCCTGCCCCTGTCTCCTTACCACATGCACCTTTGTGTTCCCATCAGCTTCAGCGATAACCACATGCGAGTTAACAGTTACCTTGATTTTTTCACTCTCTTTCCGCACTTGCTTTGCATTTTCGACAACGAAGACGTTGCTCTTGTTCACTTCGTTGTCAGCTCTGTGCCTCAGCCAGTCCTCGTACCCCTAGGCACACAGACACAGGCAACAAAGCTCATAAAGAAGCAAGTAAACTAATGAAAGAGGATGAGTGAGGCTGTAGAGGGACAGATTAAAACAATGAATATATCAAGCGGTCCTCAGACCTCCTTCATGCCTGACAAAACATCAACCAGAGTAGCTCAGACTGAATCAATTTATTTTAAAAACTTCATATGCATATTTGACAGATTCAGAACAGATTAAAATAACACATAAAAATAATCTATATGCGGGGCATGCAATGAGCAGCCAAACTACTGTAACACATTTCTATTATTCTCAGTGTTGCCAAGAACAGGCTGATAATATGAATAATGCACTTAGCAGCCCGCAACTCTTTCCTATGGTAACGCAGGATGAGACTCTTCCTCTTCAGTCTTTATTGGAAGAATAAAACATTGAGATTTGAAGCAGATAGATTTTATTCTAGCTCTCTCTTTCCGGCCACTGTAGAAGAAACGTCTTTTGTTATTCAAATCGGGAAATTTTAAATGGCACACGTGCATATGATGGGAGGAAAAAGGTCTTTTTACACCACAAGATGAGGGAGGACTACATGTGTTCAGGACTAGCTGAGTGGTTGAACAGAACCTGTCCTTTCCACCTACCTACACGGGAGCAGAGCGTGGGCTATACTTGGAGCACGTCTCTGCAAAGACCTACAGAGCATTTCTAAAAAGGGAAAAAACATTCAAGTAAAACCAGAACTACAGCAGTGAGCTTTACTGACCCTCATGGCCTGCTTACAATAGCACATGCAGAGATGCTTTACAGTGCCAAAACAAGAGACACCAATAACCACACTCAGAATGCAGTCTCTCTTGAGAAGCACCAGTGCACGTGTCTCACCCTTTAAGAAGGGTTCACCAAAACTACCAGTCCAAGTTGGTGACTTCTGAGTATATTTAAATACATGTTCATGATTTTTTCTACATGTCCCAAAGAGCATCTTCTTCTCCCCACACTGACATCTGTACCTGTTTGATAGCTGTGACAGTGATGACAAAGAAGAGTGGGAGGCCACTGGTCACTGGGCTGGTTGGGGTGTCCACTATCACCTGCAGAGAAAAAAAAACAACCATGTACTGCTGACAGGTAGCAGAAGAAACCAAAACCCTAGTAACGGGGGGAAAAAGGGCTCATCCCACTGGAGGCAAGTCAGAGCCCAGCAGAGGAGGAAGGGAAGGAAGGGCCTTGTCCCTGGAAGTGTTCAAGCAAGGCTGGATGGGGCCCTGAGCAAACTGATCTACTGAGTGGCATTCCATGGCAGGCAGGTTGGAATTATACGATCTTTAAGATCCCTTCCAACCCAAACCATTCCATGACTCATTCTACAGTTCCAAGGGGCACATGAGAAGGATCAGCACAGGCCTCCACAGGAGTGCCCTTCTCCATCACAAGGAGACTTCAATACTTGCTTCTGAAGATCATGGGATGGCCTCCGGTGGGAAAAATCCTAGCAGAAGTAGCTTAAAGCCTAAATTTGACCTTGCTCTAGCAGGAAACAAAAGCCTGAGTGAATAGGCTGCTGGAGATGGGCTAAATGCAACTATTCAAAGGGTGAATGCCAGCAAACCCACTCCCACCACAGGGTGTGCTGGAGAGGACCACGGCAGAGGACAAGGATGGGGCAGAGGCAGCAGCAATGAATGAAGTGACAACCACCCTCATTCCTCACTGAGCCACAGGAGGGTCCTTTCTCCAGTTTGGCAGTGGAGACAGGGCACATCTGAACCTTAAACCACTTCTGGTTATGAAAGGGAGGACAGTACAAGTCATCTTGAACCACTGACAATTGAAGGTTAAAAATAACACACATCAGCCCAAATTACCTATTAGATATACTGCAGAATAGAACATGAATATTTAAGTAAAACAGAAACCCATGCTATGTCTTTCAGCTCTCAAATTGGGATTTCAGAGCACAATTTAAGCACCATGGGTACACAGGGGCCTTAGGGCAGATAGGTGGACCCTTCCTGAGCTTGCTTTTCCTGCTGTCCTCAGAGAGAACGGGAGCACAAGAGGCAGATGATGAGCACTGTGGTGAAAGGGATGGGGAAATTCAGCAGAAAGGCTTTGTGTCCCCACAAAGGGACTTTGTCTCTTGTTTGTGCTTCCCTGGCGCACTCAAAATCAGCAGCATCTGTATATTTATTGTTTCAGACTGCCCGTAAAATGCCGTGTTAAAGACAGGACTCCTCTTACTGGCTACGTGGGCATTTTTGACTATGAAGTGCTGTACACTGCAATATTACCCTGCACTACTGAACCCAAAGAGAAAAGTCAGAGAATACTGAAGTGGAAGAGATACAACATAAGAAGCAGCCATACAAGTGGCGTATGAGTTAAGTAGCAGGAGGGTAAACTAAGATAAACACCACAAATATCCCCAGGAACACAAAGCCCTGGCTCACTCAAATGGGTGTAAAATGTCTCCAAGCAGAAAGTCTGGTAGAAACCAGACTTTGGAGGAACAACCTCGAGCGAGGATAGTGCCAAGTGTCACACAGACACACTGCACACGTGATGGCCTCTCACTGGGGTGACATCGTTGAAATTTAGGCCAGTCAGACAAAAGTTATCTTCCAAAAATTGGACAGGTCTTGGGAATCCAAGAGGAGCTTTGGCTCAGAAAGGCAAAGCAGAGGACCTCCTGCAGCCCAGCAGAAGAGTTTTCTGCACTGGACAAGATGCAGTTGTATGTATTTATGTAAACAAACAATACGATTTCTGTCCACAAAAATGCTGTATTATAGATGTAGGAACACAAATATCAGATGAATTCCCTGAAATAAGTAATTTATGTGTTTGGAGTTTGCACACCCTACACATCCCACGTCTGGATACTACTCTTCCGCTTAGTGGCTGGTGGAAGGCTGAGGAACACACCGACAATGAGCCAGAACATCAAAGGCAGACTGCTCTGAAGCTATTTTTGAACTGGTTCAGGACTTCAACAGCTTAATTTGGATCCACTTAAAAGTGACAAAATCCTCCTGTTACTTAATAGGTGATTCCTTAGGAGATTGAGAATCACACTGTAGAAGTCATCTCCATCAATCAAAAGGGACACTTTCCACTCCTGGTACCTCCTAAATTAGTTTACTGCCACCAGCTTGGTCTGTCTACAAACACACTTGGGAGTTCAGTTACTCCAGACCAACCCTTTCCACTGGGAGTTTCCTTGCAGATTCCTGTGAGTGTTGCAATAGATGAAACAAAGAAACAACTATTTGTATCTGTAACCCTGCTTGTCTGTCACAGGTGTTCCACGCGTAATGTACCTATTTTGTCTTAGAGAGACAAAAGAGCTGGAGTCACAATGTAATGTTTTCATAAAGGGTTTCACGACAGGTAGAGTAGATGCAGCAGGGAATACCCCAAGTGCTGTGGTGCTTCACTCCTCATGCAGCAATCATGTAAGGAAATTCCATTAATTTGAAGAAACTTAAAGATAAGCACAAACATTTAAGCAATGGCATTTTTCAAGGTACAACCCTTGGTATTTTAAATGAATGGAGTGGCCCTGGCTGCTTTTTAAGGCAAGTGACATCTCCAGAAGCACCCGGGGGCAGGTGGTTACTCTATACAGCAGCCAGTGGATCAGTGCTGTCAGGTTGGGTTTTGCTTGGTTGGGTTTGTTATTTTTTTAATAGACCATGAGGGCTGCTTCCTTATTTTAGAGATGCTCACAGAACACAGTGAAGGAGGAACAATCAGGCTCTTCTCTCACCTGCACACACCTGTGTCTAAAACGGGCAAGCAGCTAGACTGCAACCCGCTCTGTGAGTATAATCAGGAATATTCCACGTTCTTCATGGCCAGAGGGTCAATAGATAAAATGTAATACCGCGTCACTAAGTGGCCAGCTACACAAAAAGGACATCCCGACTCCAGGGCATCGCTTCAGTTCAAGGCAAATTACAAATTGGGTCTGACAAAATGGAGCAACGCCAGCGAAATGAAGAGATGGAGGCGAGCCAGCTGACGCCGGAGTAAATTGGCCTTTCATGTCACACTGCCAGGAAGAGCCACACACAGCTGTTATCTTGGGATCCCCCGTTTCTGCAGCAACCACCAAAATGACTATAAATCATAACTCTTTACTGTAAGGATAAAGATTTTAGGCACTCGTCTTTCAAACAAGCAGCCTAGGAGAGAGTGATACCCCAGTCCTGAATCACCAAAACCCTGGAGAAGCCACCTAACAGAAGGATCTCTGCAGTAGCCACACAATGCCACTTCATTTACTGGGGTACAGCTCTGATGCCTATTTTCAGCCCCAGAGCTGGCTGTCTGCTGAGACCCAGGCCTGAGGATTTAAAAGGTGAGTAAATGCACTGTGGTGATTCTCTCAAACTCCCTTTGCCCCAATGCATTTTGACAGCCTGCTTTTCTTGGATGACAGAACAGATAAAATGAGTATTCAGGCTTCCCCAGGATTTGCCCCTTAACTCAAGCCACAAAGCAGAGCAGGAAAAGTTCATTCATGTAAAAAATTTGCTGTTTTGTCCGTGCATAGCAGCTTCCTGAAACTTCATGTTACTGAATGTCATCCTACGCATTTTCTAAATTCTACTAAGTACAACCTATCTCTCCTGTTTGCCCTGAAACTCATGATAACTGAGACATACATACAAATATCATGTGACTTCAGAAAATAGATTTATGCAATAGAAGTAGTAACTGTGACAAAAAAATAGATTCTGTAGCATCAAGTGTATTTTCACTGGTTGCTTGATCTTAACAGTTAGAGTTAAGACAGTTCATCAATGTTCCAGCAGTCATTCAAACCTCATCTCAGATAGGCCTAGATATTTTAATTATTATAATGTACTGGATGGTGTGGTAGAATTATAACACGGCTTCCAACTAAAAAAACCAAAACCACTTATAAGCACAAACAGAGTCAGTTTTGAAGCTCAATTCTTGTTCAAGCTGTGCTTACCATCTGTACCAAAATAAAACCCACTCTCAGCAGCAAAGCTCTTACCTGCACGAGGAAGATGATCAGGAAATAGAAGTTGGCAATTCTTCTAAACTGTTCAAAAAGGTTCTTCGGGAGGAAGTTCCAGAGGGTGTACTGTGGGGAGAGACGGGGACTCACAAACAGATCAAGGCACGCGACTGAGAGAGACTAGAGCTACAAAATGCTGTAGTATTTGCACAAAAGAAGAAAGGAGTTCTCCCTTTAATGTGGCAAGGAGAACCACAGCAGGGCAGCTGAGCAGCTCCAGGCAGAGGTCCAGGTCCCAGATCTAAAACCAGGAGCACGATGCCCCTGGATGCTGAAATGCCACTGAGCTCCTGCTTCAGATTCCAGCTCCGGTTCTCTCTGCTGGAGCAGAGTAGGAATAGTTGGAAGTGCCTCACAGTTGCGTGGGCATTTGTGTTTCTTTGCTTTAAACTAGACAACTATTTCCCTTTTGTCAAAATAACCCAAACCACACATTTGGAAAATGATGGAGGTAAAAAAATAAAAACAACAGGATCTACTTCAGCAGACAACTTCTAGAAAGGCATTTGTAGACACATGATTTTATTAAGAAATAATGCACAGTGGAGATTTTTTTCCAAATTCCCTAAACCATCTTAGAGCTGCTTTTCTGTTAAAAAAAATTAAAAAAAAACAAACAAAAACTCAACCAACCAAACAAAAACCCAGCCAACCAACCAAAAAAAAACAACCAACCAAAAAAACCCAAACAAACAACCAAACAAAAACCCAATCAAACAAACAAAAACCCAACCAAACAAAAGCCACACTGCCCATACAAATCTGGTATTAGGTCCTGCTTTATTACAATTTTAAGAAGGTTGCTGAATCATTTGCTTTAGAAAACATGGAATTTAAGATGAACATGTAAAATAATGGGTCTAATATCTACCTTTCAGTCTGCCTGGAAGAAAAAAGAATAAGCAGCCAAGTCTCAAGACCAATATCTACTTAATTATAAAAGAGACTGGTCAGGTAAGACCACCCATGCCTAGCAAATATAAATGGAAAAAAAGAGCAAGGACACAACATTCAAAAATAAATCAAGGAAGAACTAAAATTAGTGCTCAAACAAACCATTTGTCAGAGAGGGAACTGGAACAGGGGAAGGTGTCCTCGCTGAAGGACCCCCTCTTGCGTGCCAGGGAAACATCAATGGGAATGCTACACAAGTTAAACACGGCTAGACTGAAAACTTTTTCCCAAAATAAACTCAGACAGCACAGACATACAAAAACAGATAAGAGCCAAGATGTATAAAAAGAGAAAGGAGAGGGGAAAAACGCCTTACAGCTCAAGTACAGCAAAACTGAAGCCTAAGTGTATGCTGAGCATCATGAATCCTAAGCAATATATATGTATCCAGCTGTGTTGACAATATGGAATTCCACTTGTTTGATATTTTACTTGAATTGGCTTCAAATCTTTTGAAATAGCTTCATGAATGTCATGGAAAAAAGCTAAGCAGAAGGCAGATGGGTGTCATCACAGTTTTCCACCATAAACAAAAGCGGCATTAATACCATATGAATGTTTCCCCCTTTCCATCCAAAGGGATAAACAGAGCATGATTATTTTTGTCCTATCTCAAGACAGAAAAATCCCATGGAATTAAAAAAAATAAAATAAAATGGGGAATTGTATTTTTCAGTCCATTTATAAATTAAATAATTCTCACTCCCTTTTGCAAATCTGATTGCTGTTAACTCATACTGTATAACATCTAAATTGTCCTTTCTTCCCAAAGCAAATGCCTGAAAACTTTAAAAAAGAAAAAAAAAAAAAAGACACCACCAAGAACACCTACCCCAACCCCCCAAAATCATTGTGTCCATGTGCTTTGCTCTCATCCAGCCTAAAAGAAAGGAACTTGTACAGACCCCCACTGGCATTGACAGGAAGAAAAAAAAAAAGCCAAAGAGAGAGACTGGAGCTGCATGTAAGGTCCGTACCACGCTGCTCCACTTGCAAAGGGACCTTTACATCCAACCCTGAGGAACTCAGCATTTCTCAATTTCAAAAACCACCACCAAATAAAACCAGGGTGAATACAGGAGCAGGGAATACATGCCCACTATGCACCTGGACAAGCAGAGCGAGCTCACCTTGGAGGAGACAATCCTGTTGTCGCAGAACTTCTGTGCCACACACGCCTCTGTTTCTGAAACAGGACGGTGCCCGACCACCACGGTGCGTGTACCGACCCGCTTCTCCTCCCCAGCACACTGTCAGGGCAACCAGGAAAGGGAGAAATTAGCTTTTAACTCAAAAAAATTAATTATCTGTGATAATAGCTTCCACCTTCTCAATGCACTATGCTGTTCATTGGAAATAAGGCAGCTAGAAACACAAAAATTCACTTCTATGCCCCAGTCAAAGCACAAAGAGGAACATGTAAGGTCATTTAGCAAAACCAAGGCCATGCTGAGCCTGTAGCCCAGCTCTGCTCAGCCATCAGCTCCCAGGATCACAGCCTGTCACCAGGACAGGTCACTATGCCGGACATCTGCTGCCTATACTTGCAGCCTGTACCAGGCAATTTCTCCTTCTTGAAGGGGAATATGTATCTTTACCAAGAATTTGAAGTTGTAAGGAATATAATTTATCATCTACACATCTCTTCCTAGTCCTGATCTGAGAGTCTTCCAGCTTTGGGTTTATTCACCACACGTAGAATGATGGAAATTGCAGCCTCCTTTACACACACTCTCCTATCCACTCCTCAAGTCCATGCAAAATGTCTCACCAGCACACAGGTACAGACAGACTTTGGATTTAGCCTTAAAAAAGTCTACTTCTATTTAAAAATCTCAGCTAAAACCAGGAATAATGAAGCAGACAGTTTCACATCACAAACTCCTCAAGAAGACACGCAGGGTGCAGGGGAAGCCAGCTGGGCTTGCTGGGGGTTTAATTTAAAGCAGAATGAGATGTCACAATGAGTGTTAACCTTGTGTCATGGGGGTTTGATGAAAGTCCCATTGCTCTGCAGCAGCCAGGAGAAGGATGAGGGGAATTGCAGCAGCATAACCTCAGCAGGGAAGCAGAGGTGCTCCGTGGGAGAGCATCCCTTGCATGAAGCCACGAGACACCTGTGATCAGCAACACAGGTCTGTAGCAGAGACCCAGCCATCCCACAGCCCTTCCAGGCTGCCCATGGCAGGTGACTGCACCGGCCAAATCAAAGATAGATCCTCCTGATCAATAGAAATGATGTTAACTCATCGTAAACAAAGTATCTGAATATTCCAAAGTAACAGAGCTCTTCTATTTCAATGTAACTCTTAAACACAGAATGTCCAACTTCTTGTAACTTTATTTAAAACCACTTGCCAATTTGTGACAAAGCAGAGGCCACCCAGGTCCCTGCAGCCCTGGGGAAGCTGTCAGGTGGATGAGGCAACACTGTGGGCTCTGTCACCATGAGCCTCTAGCTCTGGGCTGCCCAGCACACTCAAGTTTCTCAGTGGATCTGAAAACTTTATTTTCAAAAGAAACAAAATTGTGCAATAGTTTAAAAATCAGCTTTTCATTCTGTCCAGGTTCCCCCTTTCATATAACAAAGTGTCCCTGCCACGGATGCTCACAGTCAAGGGAGAAGACTTGCCTGGCATCAGAAAGCATTTTGCAAGGTTGAACTTAAAATTATACAATAAATTTAAAATACCCACTAAGATAGATAGGGCTGGGGGGGAGAGAGTGGTGTTAGACCAGGCTGAGGTTTTCTTAGGAGTTAAGGTTTTGGATTTTAAAACACGAGCAGGGAAGACGTTTGTCACAGTCTACGCTTCAAGGGCATTAGCAGGCAGCAGGGCTGCTAAAACACCAGCACATGCTGTTCATAGTCTGCTTACTCATACTAACTCTCAACCCTACAGCTTGCCTACTTTGAAACCCAAAATGGCAAGTGCCAAATATCTGTCTCATGCCAGTTGCCCAGCATGGACTCAGCCTCTGCAGACGGATGCTCATGGAGTGCCCTGGATTTGGCTCCGCATCTCGGTTGTCCAAAGGGCTCATCACAGGCAGCTTGTCAAGCTGCAAACAAAACCCAGCTAGAGAAAAGGTGCTCTGAAAGCAAACATGTTAAGACAGCAAAGCCTGGGACTAACTGCTGCTTGGGGAAAGTGTAAAAACCAAAAATTGAAACAACTAAAATAGGTGTACCCGGAGCAGCAACAACTGAATTGATCCTGTCGCACCAGGAGCAGGATCTGCCCAAAGGAAGCAGCTTCCTTCCCCCTGCTCCCCACCCGTGTCTGTAGCATCTCTAATTAAAGAAGTATTTTTACACTATGCCTAAACCTGGTTTGCTGTGCTGACTGCTCTTGCTACAGCCATCCTCAAACCTCCAGCAGCTGATGCTTAGAGCAGAAGATGGAAATTTCTCACAACCCTGCACCATATCTCTGCACCTCCCAACACAGATCCAGCAGCAGCCACCAGCACCCCCCGCAGCAGCTCCCAAACACAGATAAGGCAGGTGCACACTCCCAGCTAGGGAATGCCACCACTCTCCCAGGCTCCTCACCACTGCCCGCAGCAGCGAACAGCACATCTTCCAAACCAGAAACTAGACCCAAAAAATGTTCCCCGATGTATCTGCTGCGTTATGGAGGTGGGTCTCACCAACCTGCACCCCAGGAGCGAGAGGCAGAGCCATTCATCCACACCACTGCAGCACCAGGGAGTTGAGACAGACTGTCCCCAAGTGTGAAGTCCCCGTCGTGTCCCTGTGAAGGATCTGGAGCCAGGCATGCCTGGTGAGTATCCTTCCAGCACAGGGAGGAAGCGACAGCTTCCCCTGCCTGCACTATTGGCAGAGCAGGGGGGAAGGAGCAGGGGTGAGGGTTTGCCAAACACACATATTGGCATGAAAACCATAAAGTTCTGGTTAAAGCACTACTGGAAAAATATACACGAGCATTTACTGACTATCCACAGTTTGCCATAGAACACAGGGAGCACGTGAAGCCCCAGAGCAGAGGAGAACCCAAACCCCAGATGTGGTGTGTTGGCTGACCAAGCCTCACCAAGTTAGCACCACTAACTCCTAGGTGGGCTTTCACCCTCATCTCCCTTCAGTTATTTATTGGAAGCATCTCTTACAAAGAATGACTGTAACCCCATGTTAACAGTAACGCTGTAACTCCACAATGCATCCCAGCCCTCTGCGGTGGCAGGACAGGGAGAAGTCGTCATTCCCTGGTCTGACCAGGCTCCCACCACTCACGGCATTTCATTTCCCACTCCCTCAACCACCCCACGGTGTCACACCATCCTACACCCCACGAGAAGCTGGAAGGCTTCACACCACATCTTTCTCTTCTCCACTTTCCAGAAAGTGAACACACACCACGATGACGCCTGAGGCGAGAGGTGTTGGCTCAGCTCAGCAATTAGAAGCTCTCATTTTGACGAACCCACCTCGGACCTCTCGCTGGGTCGCTAATAGATTGCTACATCTTAATAACGGCTCTCAACAGAGACTTACAGGGAGATTTAGGGAATAACTGCCAGGCTTTGTGGAAAATTATAAAATATGCAGATTAGCAGAGAGAGGATTTAGATTACCTTTTCCAACCGCCTTTCATCAAAAATTTTAATTCTGATTAAAAAAAAAGAAAATATTACTTGGATACAATTCAAACAGCTGCCTTGTTGCCTGGTGGGGTTCTATAAAGCCCAGAGTCCACAGCTCTGAAGTGAGCTGGTGCAGGCAAATGCCAGAGTTTCTCCTGCTGTTTAGAGCCAAGCCTGCCAAAAGGATTATTCAAGAAAATAAACAATTTCATTCCCCTCATACGCACTTTATCACCTCCCTCGGCCTGAGGCGTGGCGTTTGCATTAGTGCTGGGAGAACCAGAGCTATCTGTAGGGATTAGTGGTGTCAGACTGCTCACAACCTCGGGACAGTGCCAGGGGAAGCCACACTGCATCATCCCACCAAGGCTTGAGAATGTAGGGATGTGGGCAGATGACCTCAGATCTGTTTGCTGTACCACGTCCCTGCAACCCAGAAGAGCTCCCAGCAGCTGGCAGACACACAGCAGCACCCTGGGGGACACTGCAGACACCAGGAACTGAGAGGAAGGAGGGAAGGAGGTATTTTTGAGCACAGTCACTATCCTGTCTGCATCATCTCTGGACCAGCCTCAAAGACGTGCGTCTCTCCTGCAATATTTCAAGCTTCAGTTCAGGGCTCCTGGTCCACTCCCCCAGTGCCTAACCAAGCCTATCAATGAGTCAATCTTTCAGCAGGGCATCCAAACCAGATTTCTCCTGAAGGAGCTCAGCTGGAAGACAACAGCCAGAGTCAAACACAAATCATAAGAGATAAAGATGAGGCTAGCAAGGCTGTTCTGCCAGGAACATCCTTCAAGTTGGCAGCTCACTTTCCATCTTCGTTTTCCCCCTTGGGCAGGACTAGGAGTCCAGCTGCAGTAATAAATAACCACATCATCACCACCGATGCAGGCACACTCTGCTGCACAGGCAAAGGGCTGCTGCTGCAGCACAGTCCTCCTCAGCTCATGGAGAAATTCAGATACAGAACATATTTCTGTTAAATAATTTGATGCAACCCAACTTTCCCCTGCTCTCACCTTTTATAAAGCCCACGTATCTAGGAGTAGCAGCTCTGAGAACAAGACATTAAGGATAATAACTATTTTCTTACGCTGTCCAAATTTAAAAAGCCCATCTACATGCACCAATACACCCATGGAAGGTCAGTAGAAGTTTGGCATTTCACTAAAATCTTTTTTTTGAGAAGATAAAAACACATATGACTTGAAGACATCAGACCAGGTCTAAAAATACTCATGGATGCAACTTGCAACTAATAAATAACCCAAAATCATCTATGACTTGAAGTTGTTGGAGCATTAGATAGAGACAACGGAATTACATTTGCAGCCCACAGCACTCCCCAGATTCTTCACCTTAGTTTGGGCAACTCTCCCTTTGTTCCTCTTTCCCCTCTCCATCTGTGCCCTTCTCCCACAGAGACATCCTCTCCAGCACAACGGCTACCCCCTGACTCAGAAAGAGGCTTCTCTTCACCCACCCTCCCCAGTTTCTACGAATCCATTACAGCCTCATGTACAGGACCTGGATGGCCCTTGATAAAAGTTGCAAACCTGGGTAAAAATTAGCAAGCCTGGATAAAAATTAATGGAGTTAGTCTGAGTTCAACAGGAGAGGTGAAACTCTCCTGCAGCCACCACTGACAAGGAGCCACTCTGAGTGCACTATTTCTAGGGCAGCTGTAAAACACAGTGTATAATTACATGCCCCATATGGAAAGCAAGTTGTGTGCTACCTGCTGACCCTGTTTCCAGGAAAAAAAAAGCACAGTGGCAGAAGGAAAAAACCCACCAGCATTTGATTTACTAGAGTTTCAGAAAGCACCTAAACCAGAACTAACTAATAAAAAAAACACTCCTTTCATGTTTGCTGAAGATAGCTTCAAGCCACAAAGTAAACACAAATAACTCGTAGAAAACATATCTAACAAAAACCACAGGCATCTAAAAAAAAAGTCATCTGCTAAAACCAGAGATAATTATACGGTATAAGTACAAAGTTCAAACATTTGAATGAAATCACAGCTTATATTAAATATATGCAAAAGAAAGATTAAATCGCATTACTTGGCTTCAATCTCATGAATAGTTTAAAGTCTAATTTCTCCTATATTGTTCCATTTATCAAAATGTAGTAGCGAAGACGACCTGATTTACAAAAAAAAAAAGCCTGCAAAAATAACACCATCTCCCAAAAACAGCCTGTTCCAGCTCCTGTTTCATTTAGCCCCAAAAGAACAAAGAAAAACGCATGCACAATTTTAAAAAGCGTCCATAAATTTACCATAACCTCCCCAAAACATCCATCAGCCTTGGGCAGTCGCTCAGCACACCAACTCCACTGCCCAACTGATACATTTTTAATTGAAAATTTTTCTTGCCAATTTTTCTATGACTCCTTGTTTTCAGTCATTTCTATGCAGGTACAAGCAATCCTTTGAGAATACCCTTAATAATTTAGTTCGGACTATGCTTACCCATGCTGACCACATATTTAGGCAGATCTCCTGATTTAGAGAGAGAATTCCATCGACAGGGATCAACCCCACTGCTCTCCCTGAACCTGCAGGAAAGAGTCGATATTGGGCACAGACCTTGGAAAGGAAACAACCAACCAACATTGCATTCAAAACATCAAGAGCTCATAGGTCCAAGAGAAAGGGCTGAAGGTGTGTGCTGCATGAAACTCATCTCTCACTGGACAGGACTTCAGCTGCTCAACCCTAAGCAGAATAGGGAAGGCTGGTACCTTGGGAAAGCAGAAAGTTGAAGTTTAAACCTGTATCCCTTCTCCTGTGTTGAAGCTGAAGCTTCTGCTGCTATTTCAACCAGAGACAAAACACAATCACCAAGGAGTGACTGCTGGGATAAGCCGGGTTCAGCAGGGGTAACCATGAGAGCCCCCAGACCAACAGAACAAACAACAGCAAAAGAGGAGTCATGGGAAAAGGACCAATACCTGGGGGTTTTTAAAAATCACAGTCAACACGTGATGAAGTTCAATACCCAGACCTTGCCCTTGGTCCCTGTTGGGGATGACAAAGCGGTATATCATGTGCTCTAGCAGAACATCACTGACCCAGATCACACCATCCTTAATGCAAGTTCAAGTACATCCAAGCAAGGGGCCCCAACGAGAGCCTGCTCCCATGTCCTCTCTGCCCCAAGATTGTTCTGCCTGACCATGTGGGCTTGTAAGAAGGTCACTTTCATCAAGGACAATGGGCTGGGGAACAGCAGAGCCAAACTAGGCTGCACTTCCTGGAAAAGCTGACTTAGCCAACAAAGCCACTGATAAAAACAGAGAGAGACATGGCAGGGTGGGGAGAACAGGGGAAAGAGCTACTTGAAAGGTTTAATAAGGGTGGAGAGAGGAAATACAAGAGTTTTTTTTCCAAGATACTAAATTTATAGGAGAGCCCAGCCCCATCCTGGACTTGAGGAGCCCTGTGCACAGGGGTGACAGCTGAAAAGACCTTTTTTGGCACGGGTTTTGTTTTTCTTTTTCCTTCTGGAAGAAGTCTGCCCCCAAACCACACAATACTGCATCTTCCCATCAAACATGCCACAATGTCTGTAATCACAGCTTCTGTTCAGCAGCACTTTGCACAAAGTCAGGTTCACATATGATGTAGAAAGTCAAACCCAGACAGTATTGATTGGGCCAGTATTACTTCAGTGCTGCTGTTGTGTGGAAAATCTGTTGCTCCTGTTCAAACATAACCACCGACCTTTGGAAGTTTTCAGTATCTCAATTCCTTTTTTCTCTACCCCGTTGGCAGCCAGGGTTATGAAACCATTGCTCATCTTGAAATACAGGCAGCAGATCTTTATTTTTGGCAGTCCAAAACAAAAGTTCGACCAGCATGCTGCCAGCATATAAAATTCAGGCTCATCGGAACACTTCAGGCTCGAGAATAGAAAAAAGGACTTTGAATAAGAGCCAAATGTTTTGCAGAGGTCACAAAGCAAATACAACGAGGTCTTCCTGTCTTCAAAACTCTTCCTCCCTCCTTTCCCCAGCTCAAGCTGTGCACATATGTCTGTTCATCGGCAGCTATTTTAGCAAGGCAGCAAGCTCTCCAGAGCAGTGATTTGCCCTGGCAAAAATTAAAATAAGAGCAAAGTGGAAAAAAACCTTCAAGTTTGCAATTGTCAGTGCTTGCATCACCCTGCAGAGCTATAATTTGTTGGTTTTCCTGTTGTTTTCTGGTCCTCTGAAAGCCTGAGCTCTTCAGTTATGGAAACAAAAAAAACCCCTAAATGCTATGTTATGCATCCCCGCTCGGCCAGACATTGCTCTGACCTCTGCCACCTACAAACATTTTGCCCCTTTTTAAGTTTTCCCAGCATTTCAAAGCCAGGCTGCCAGCTGACTGGCAAGGAGCCCATTTCCCAGAGCAGTTTCCTCCCTTTCCCCTGGGAAGCAAGCCTGCTTGGCTGTCCACACTCTGGGGACAGAGCTGCACACCCCCCTACCAGGGTGTACCTCACCACAGCATCCCAGAAGCATGGGCTGGTACACAGGCCTGCCCAGCCACATCCCCCCAGATCAAGCTTTGCCCCAGGGAGGCTGTCCTGTCTCCCACACAACAGCCACCAGCAGGGATGGGAGGGCAGATACAGGCTGCAGGGGCTCACCAAGTCCTGCACCAGCACCACGGGGTGCTCTCAGTCCCTGCAACAGGTACCCAAGGTCCAAGGTCCCAGCCCCCCATACCATGCTCCTCACTCACACTGATTCAGATTAAGTTTTCAACTCCAAAAATGTAAAAGCCATGGTTTTCTAATCCTCCTCTTGCTGTACTACAGAGAAATGTTACCACAGAAGCAGCAGGAGATAAAAGGGAAAAGAGAGGGATAAATCACCTTCTTCATCCCTTGCTCCACAGCCAAAAGCAGCTCTACATGCTCCAGACCCCACTGGAAATACTTTCATCTCCAGATACAACAGTGACCAATAGATTCATTCTTGGGGCTGCAGGCACAATTGTACCAGGATACAGGATCATTGCAATCCACACAGTCAGGAGAGAAATCCTCAACATGTTCCCTAGAACTGTTTATCTTCAGGAAATCCTTTGGCTCATGTTCCTGCTGGGCTGGGTAAGGCAGCTGCAGAGCAGCTCCTGCAGAGCACAGGCTGCCCAAGCAATGCCAGCAGCACAGCAGCCTGGATTGGCAGCAGGAGGGAAATCTGCTTATCCACAGGGACGTGGAGCTGAGGTTTGAGTTAGCCCCAGCATGTTGGCCTTGGAGCTCAAGGGGTTTCAGTGTGGCCAATAGCAGCACCACCAGCCGCAGAAGCGAGCCCATCCTGTGCCAGAGAACAAGACAGCACCCCAGGAAATGCCTCAGCCACCTCCATCCCATCCTATCAGAGGCTATCCCTAGCCAAGCACTGGCACAAGCGCATTCCTACTCTCACAGTTATCAAGATAAGCTCCTTCACCCAAGGTTTCCTCTCTCTGTGTCGCTGCTTCCCGCCCTGCACTTACCGGAATGGGACTTGTCCAGTGGAAAGTCCCACTTCCATCCATTCAACTGCACTGAAAGAAACCACCCCGTGGAAATTATGTACTCCACAATATTAATTTGGCTGACACAAGGACAACAGCCCTCTGGGCATCACAGCTAATTTTATGGTGCTCCCTCCCTGAGCAAACAATATAAGAAAAGGTGAGTTGTAAGGAAGGAAGAAAAAACAAAAGGAACAAAAATGTCCCACAACTCAGAGTGAACAAAAGTGGCGTGCAAAACACCACCCAAAGTAAACAAAAAAATATATTAACTGCATTTTATGCTTGAGTTTGCAGCCCCCCCAGTGCAGCCTGAGTCCCTACAGACAGCAGCTGCTTGGCTTTGTGCAAACGCTGGGGAGGAATTACACAGAAATTATAATAAAAGATGGCAAGGCTGCTCACAAAGTGGATTTTTTCCCCTGCATTTAATTTCCCGGCAGTGAGTTTGGATTTTTTTTTATTTTTTTCCCCCTCTTAAGCCAATTGAGACTCCAGTGACAGAGCACAGTGTCGCTGCAGTCAAGCAGTATTTAATTTGTATTACTGCTGAAGAGATCTTGGATTGCAATGCCAAAGAAGCGCTTCAAATTGTCTAGTCTTGCCTGTTGCACATCTTACTCAGCTTTTCTAGGTCCTTTACAGTACAAGAAAAATAGGATCCCTCTGTTTTGCAAATCAGTGTGTTTGCCACAGTACTGCAAACAAATTACATCTACCAAGTGGCTGATGCCTCTGTTTCTCACTCTAATAGTCTTATAAAATCTTGTTAAGGCATACAGCACACTTTAAGACATTCAAGATGTAAAGACCCTTTGGAAATACACTGCAGGAAATTACCAAGCCCTCCACATACTGCCCTACAAAAGCAAAGCTGGGGACCTTTCACCTATAGATCCTGCAAAATTCCACTGAAAACAGAGCAAAAAGCCCACAGCAAAGCATTACTCAGCCAAGGCCACAAAGGAGGTTAACAGGAATCGTGTTCAAGTCGTGAAAAAAAATTAAGAGTCTTGCTCCCAAAATACCCAGCTAGGACAGCCTCACAGGGGCTTACCCTCCCTTCTGCTGCAGGAGGAAAACAAAAAGCTCTTTACAAACAGCCAGATCAAAAATAAGTGCATTAAGCTTTCATTAAGCAGAATAGGACAAATGCCTCTGAACTACAAGCACTATCAATTAGGGCTGGATGTTCAGAGCAGGTATGCTTTTAGACTAAATGGGCTCCAGTTGGAATTCCATCCCAAACAACATAAATGAGGTTTTGGGGAAAAAAAAATCACTGGAGTCAGCAAGATGCAACAGGTGCCCACAAGAATGGACAATCTGTGAATCACATGTGCAAGGGATTGCATAAGGAGCTAAACATTTTACAGAGTATTGGTTCTGATCAGCACCTGTGGCAGCAAGCACCCCTATGAGAACACAAAAAAACATGGAGGGGAGGAGAAGCAAAACCTAGGACTGCTTCCCTCCCACCAGTGAGCCCCCAGCTGCTATCCCCACCCCACTGCCCCACGTGCAGCTCAATATCCAAATGCACTTTGCAGCCACCAAAGTGGTGCCTTGTGCCAACCACTGGCCTGCAGCTCCCTGGGTTTTGGCCAAGCCCAAGAAAGAGCCCATAAGCAAAAATAAATGTATATACTTAATGCATCTATATATATATTGCATATATGCATATTTGATGTGCATATATTGCATGAATGTATATTTAATGCATATATATACACACTGAAGTCACTGCAGCCTGTGGGCAAAACAGGCTTTTCCTGACCCAGCAGCCGTGCTGCTGCCAGGCAAGAGCCAGGTAAGGGCAGAGGCCGGAGGAGACCTTTTAAAACAGAACAGTTTTACTGTTTCCCCAGGCTACAAGTTAGCAAACCAAGCTTTAAACCAGCCTGCCACTTACTGCCATCCCCTGCAGTGCAGAGGCAGCACCAGCATTGCCCTCCTACCACGGAAGGGTGATGGCAATCCACGTCAAAGCTTCATGCACAAGTCTTGGAGTCAAGTTTGCAAAAAAGCCAAAATAGTAACTGCCCAAATCAAATGTTAACCAATCAAGGCAAGC